AAATACACAGGGTTACCTAAGGCCCCGCAGACAAATAGCCATGTGAACCTGGTCTGAGCTGGGCCACAGGGTGTTACTGTACACCCGCTTGCCTATCCTTTCCTTGATGTGAACATTTCTTGACTGAATGGGTTTTCAGGTCACAAAGATGCTTATTCATCTGCATCGCTGGATTTACAAGGATTTTTGCACAACAGACACACGGGCTGCAGGACTAGTACCACGTTAGTCATTTAGCCCTGAACGTGGCATTCGCTTTTCTGAGACAAAAATAAACAGAACTGTCTAAGCAACTAGCTGTTGTTGCATTTGTTAGCAACAAGCTTTGTGATCAGACAATGGCATTGTATTGGCCTTTAACAAACGGCACGCATTCGCGTGAGCAAAGCCACATTCAAATAGAACACGAGAATATTCTTCTCAGCCTGGCAGCTGGATTTTAGAGGAAGGTTTATTCTCTTTCTTTCTTCCTTCTCTTTGGAATCTGCCTCTAGTTTTTGTACTTTTTGAAAGGCTTTTAAAAGCCTTCTTAGAAGAAGAATTTGGTTGTTGATAAACGTGTGTCAGTTTCTTCCTCCACATGTTTCTTTGTTAGCCTGTGTTCACCCAAAGTCAGAACTGTGGTCTATCTTTATTTTATTAAAGGCAACTTGTTTTGTGTTTACATTTTAGGGCAATGTAAATGTTATGCACAAAATTTAGGTTTTTGAGGATATATGTTTAAGAAAATGAAAAATTATTTGGAAAATTAGTTATTTCAAGCATGTATTTCTTTAGGTACACACACAGGCATCCTCATTTGTAATAACTATGTTGGGGAGACTATGTTTACCTTTATCTTCCCTCTAAAGGGGCCCTGAAATACTATTTTTTTCCTCTTGAGATGAATGCTGAGTTAGTGGGCTCTTTGGTTAGGGCCTCTCTGTTAGCCAAGCATTGCACAAGTGGAGAAACTATTACTGAAGTCAAATGAAAATACCTCCCCAGCACACAGATGGAAAAACATCCCGTAATATTACAGACCCTCTTGAGCAAGGCCATCGATTGACCTGAAGTCAGCCTGTCACCCTGTGTGCTACAACTGGACACAGCTGCTCCTGAAAGATAACATGTTTTGTGGCTAAGTTTTTTCAGTTTACTTGTTCAGGCTGTAGGTACTATTTTAAGTGTTTGCACAAAGGGACTAAGTGTGGCACGAGAGCAGTAATTCATCCTGGGAATGGAGGTCTCCAGCGGAGAGGGATAAAACATCAAACTCTGCTTTGAGGGGTACCAAGAACAAAACATGGACCCTCTTCCTTTATTATTGGCCGTCCAAGCAAAGCCAGGTGTGTTATGACTCACCTTGAGAAGGCTTGTTCGGTCCTGCTAGGAATATTCATGTTTGTCTAGTGCTCACCCAGGCCCTGAACATGCCTGAAACAACTGCTGGGGGTTTGAAGTGAGCTTCTGCTTCTGCTTTCCACAGGGCGTTACACTTGCCCCACTTCCTGCAGGTCTCTGACCTCACACACTGCTTTACCCACCTCCCTCTGAGCAGATAAGCTGACTTGCTCCTTGAAGAAAGCTGAGTCCATGTGAGGGGAGCTGCTTCGGCTTCCAGCTACTAGTCTCCGCGCTTGCTGATGTCTCCGGCCCTCCCTTCTGCCTGCGAGTTAAAACAGTGGAGGTGGGCTTTTCCCTAGGCCAGTCTCCTTACCTGGCTTCTGGACTCCACCCCCCGTCCACCACCTCTCTCTTCACTGGTTCCTTCTCATCAGCATTAAAACCAGCACATGCTCTCTCATTAAAGAAAAAAAAAGTCTTCCCTCAAGCTTAGGCTTCCAGTTCATTATGCACAAGGAAATGCTCAGGGCCTAGCCATTTTTTCTAGAACTAATTTTGTGTGAGCCTTTTGCTTTTACTTTAAATTACGTAATGTTGTCTTAAGAAAACAAACCATTGTAACTGTTTTTGAATTGAATTTGGGTTTGACCTGGAGGGTGCTAGTGATCTGGGCACCAGCGGATTCCGTGGGGGGGAGGAATGGAAACCACATTGGAGTAAGGTGAAGAGTGGGAGGTGAGGATACCCACCTTGTGTCTCTCTTCACAGCCAGAGTTCTAGAAAGAGCACAATACATGATAGTTAGGCACTCTGCAAAATGTTAGCTGTATTGTTTGTGAGCTCTCCGTAATATTTGACACAGTTCATTCATCCATCTAACAAATACTTAGTGAGCTTCTACTGTGTTGCTAGGCACTATTGTAGTAATAAACTTACAGGATAAGGCAAGTCGAATATACGGTGTGATAATATGCGCTATGGAGGAAGAGCAGAGGGGGAGAAAAGGAGTGTTGTAGGGTGGGGGTTGTGTTAGAAATAGGATGGCCAGAGAAGGCATAGCTGAGGATGTGAAGGGGGCGAGCATCTGAGCCAGGCAAAGATGTGTGGGATGAGAGGGCCAGGCTGAGAGGAGGCACGAGAAGCCAGGAGCAGGGAGACACCCAGTGTGTGCAAGAAGCTGGTCACCGAAGCCCACGTATAGTGTGATTCCACTTGTATAAAACGTCCCCAGCAGGCAAATCCATGGCCCTGGGTAACTGCTAATGGGTATGGGCTCCTTTTGGGGGCGTTGAACATGTGGTAAAAACACTAAAAGCAGTTAAATCATGTACTTTAAATAGGAAAGTTGCATGATATGTGAATTAGATCTCCATAAAGCTGTTCCTTACATAAGAAAAGGAACAGTATGGAGACCAGTGTGGCTAGTGTGGACAGCAGAGGGCACGAGGTCAGGCAGGGACTCTGAGACCAGAGCATGTAGGGCCTGCAGTCTCTTGAAAGAGCCTTGACCTTCACGGTGGGTGGACCAAGGCCGTGTTGGAGGCTCTTGAGCAGAGGAATGACATGATCTGGTTTACGTTTTAATAGGATTACCTTGGCTGCAGTGTTGAGATAAAGTCTGAAGAGGTGGCAGGGGTGAAAGCATGGTGACCGCTTAGAAGGCTGTTGCAAAAAAAAAAAAACAACCAGAGATGCTGTTTCTTCCTTTTTGCTGAAAGCCTTTCTTTGGCTTTGCAGAAAGCCACACTCTTTTCATTTTCCATCTCTCCGTAGTCTCCCTTGTCAGCATCTCTTCTTCTTTCTCACTGCTGAATATAGGGTTTGTTTAGATTATGTCCTCAGATCATTTTATCTCTTCCTGGGGTGTCTCACCCACTCCCATGGCTTGCTTTCCTGTTTACAAGCTGAATACGCCAGAGCGCAACACCTATGTCTCTGCTGAGATGGCCCAAGTGCCCTCAGACTCAGTTTGTCTGTTCCGGTTATCTTTTTGTGTCTGTTCTGGTTATCTTTTTGTGTCTGTTCTGGTTATCTTTTGCTGTCTAACCAAACGCCCTAAACCATGATGTCTTAAACGAGGCATGTCTGCTGCTTTCACCTCTGCAGTTGGGGCCGGGTTCGGAGTCTCCTCTGCTTGCCCAGGCTGGACGGTTCACCTCTAAGATGGTGCATGCGCATGGCGCCGAGCATGGGCTGGGAGCTAGTCAGGCCGGCTCAGTGAGACTTCCGTGTGGGTTTCTCTGTTGACTGCTGGGGCTTCCTCAAAGCACGGAGGCCTCATGGCTGGTGGATGACTTACGAGGCGAGTCGGTGGCCTTTCACGATCTAGTCTTGGAAGTCATATAGACTGCCTGCATTATCACAAACCAGCCAGGAGGTTCAAGAAAATGCAGCACATACCCAATTTTGCAGGGGAAGCTTGTCAAAGTGACACTGTAAAAGGAGCATGTGACATTAGAGATGATTGTGGCCATCATTGGCGAATGTCATCTGCCACATTGTCCAAAACCAAACTTCATCTTTCATACACCTGCTTTTCCTCTGTGATTCAGCAATTGGCCCCACCATCTCCATGGCTGCTCATGGCAGAAACTTGGGGACCGTGTCTGATACCTCTTTTTTCCTTAGAGTTCCTTAGAGTTCTCAGCAGCCTGTCCTTTGCCCTGTCCTGTCAGTCACCGGGTCCTCCTTGCTGTCTTTTGAAATTGTCGTCCTGTCTTTCCATCCTTCTCCTCTGCCATCACTATGCTACTTTACTTAGGCCATCATCTGTCCCCTTAGTCACTACAGTGATCTTCCAACTGGTTTTTCTGCTGCAGTCTTTCACCTTCCAACTGTTTATCCTGCTTCCCATGTAATCTGCAGAAATACAAATCCATTAATGGCACCCTCCTGCTTAAAACCCATTAGAAGCTCCTCAGCGCTTTTGAGCGAAGGACCGTTGTTCTTCCTGTGTGCCACGGGCTTCATCTCCTGGCTCCTGCCCACCTGAGGTTCCTTTCCCATCACTCCAGATCCTTTAGCTTCCGCTCTGCCAACTTTCTTTCCGTTTTCTTTCCTGCCTCAGGATTTCCACTTTCGCACTTGCTATTCTGTCTGCCGCACTCTGCTCATTATTCATTTTGTTTGAATGTCAGTTCCTCAAGGAAACCTGGATTAGGTAGCCTGTTAAGCAGTTCCCTGGTACCTGCAAATTCTTATTAGACTCTATTACATGTGCCATTTCTCACGCTATCTTTGGACTTCTTCCTTGCTAGACTTTAAGTTCCGTGAGCTCGAACAACTGGTCTTGAATCCCAAATGCCTAGCCTGTGCCTGACGTATAGCGAGCACCCGGTATATGCTTATCAATGACTCTGCATGTAAAAACATTAAAAAATATTTGTGTTGTCTACACAAACACATGCACATCATTTGGTGAGTATGTGCCTACAGAGGAGGTTTTTAAAAATGTTTTACACTTGAGTAAGACTTATCAGTGCTTAATTTAGAAATTGTTTAGGAAATGATGGTATTTCTGTTTGGGAGTACGTATATGCATTTCTCATGAATTCTGTTTTACCCATTATTGTTCAGTATGTACCACATCAAACACTGAGCTGGTTCAGAGGAGAGGTGTTCCCTTGTTTGTTAGCTTGTCCTTCACCTGGTCCTATCTGTCCATCTCATTCAAGGTAAAGAAACTGCTGCAATGAAAGCTGATCTTCTGAGGGCCCGAAATATGAAAAGGTACATTAACCAACTGACTGTAGCAAAGAAGCAGTGTGAGAAGAGGATCCGAGTCCTGGGCGGTCCCGCCTACGACCAGCCGGAGGATGCGGCCTTGGATGAGGTGGAAGGTCCTCAAAGCCAGAAGGTAGGACTTTGTAGTTTCTTGTGTTGACCACGTCATGGTTGTTATGAACACTACGTAATCACATACCCAGTCATTTAACTTTTTGGTGTTAAGTTCGTAACACATATGTTCCAGAACCATAGCCCCGTATGTTTGCTTTTAGGAGTCAAAGAGCTGTATTCCTTGGCTGCCGTGAATGGTCATAGGTGTGGTAAGTGGGCCTGGGGTGTATGAATGTGTGTGTGCATATGCCCATATGTATTTTCCCACCCACCTCTGTCCTCCCACAGTCCCAGAAGAGCATGTTTATATTTGCAAAGGCTGAATCAAGCACTCCACTACCAGTTGGATAGAAATAACCACCTATGAAGTAGAGGTATATCTTGTAAGTTATTTTACTAGCTCTCTACACATGCTATGGAATATATACCCAATATTCCTTTTCTACTGGTGAAGAAACACAGTTGGTTTTAGGAAATTACCTAAGGTGCGTAGAGAGGAGGAGGCATAACTAGGTAAAACTAGGTGTAGTTGATGCCCCAGTTCTGAGTGCTTTCTCACTCAACCATAACATGCTGGCGACTCTTTTTGTATAGCCAAACTTTGGACTGTGTGATACTCAGCCCTTCAATCATGGGGTGCAGGAAAGTGTCCTAGCCCTACCTCAGTGCCTGTCCTTATTGTCAAGGACCAAGCTTGTCTGCCAAGACCTGGAGCATGCTAGGAGTGAAGGAAACAGCCACTGTACCCCCTTAGCTTGGCTGTGCCACTTGGGAGCAGGGCATCAAGGCAAACTTCACACTTGAGTAAAGTGGCACTTGGCCACGGAGAGGCCAACATCAGTGTAATTGGAGACTGGCTCTGGCCTCACCTGTTCTGATGTTTGGTCTCTTGATCTTTTCCTGTTCAGTTCTTGGTTTGAGTTCAGATGCTTATCCGTGACTTTCCCCTTACTCCCTATGCCAGGGATGAACTCGTACGTTTTCTCTTGTTCCTGGCTCCATCTCCACGGCAGCTGCTGCAGGAGGGCTTGTGCTCCTCATGGGGCCAGCTCTTGCACGGGCCAGGGTTCTGCAGCAGCTTGTACAAGGGGCACAAATGCAGCCCCGAGCAGTGCTTGTTTGACAGAGGGGCCCCAGCCACTGGAGATCTGTTTATCTTGCTGTTAGCAAATAACACCTTTCTGCAATTTTGGCTTTGTGGTCCAAAGTGAAAGCTGTGCCTTTTGGGGAACATTGTAGAGTGAATTTGACAGGTTGAATATTGTCCCTCTTTCACCTTCTCCTCTGCATCTCACCTGTTAAATAAATTTCTAGCCACATTTATGATATATGAAGTTCTCTTCTTATGTTCTATTCATTCATTCATTCATTCATTATTCAACAGATATTTGTTGAGGGTCTATAATCTCTCAGAGTGCAAGATCCTAGGATATGAAATAAGATAGTCCCTGTTCTCACAGTCCCATATAATTATAAAATAAAAAATCCAATAGAGATGGGAGATACATACTTAGAGGAAGCCCCCGATGGCTTGCTACCTAATCAAAAGATGGTATTATTTTAGATGTAATGATAGAGGAAAACCTTGAGAAAGATAAAGGAAGCTCGTGTTAGGAGAATCAAATGTGACGTCAGTATAGGTTATCTGGCAGTATTTACTAGAAATATACTCCATCTGGTGCCGGCTCCGTTCTGACTCGTTCCTGCAGATATTTAGGAAAGGAGAAACTGGTTTCTGTAGCAACGGTTTATCCTCAGAGTAAAATCATTTCCCCTAGATTTCAGGCTGGAAGGCGCAGGTAAAGAGTTCCATTATTATCATGTTTGGCTTTTCTAAAGGTAAGACTGGTTAGTTTGAGGCCATTGTGATATGTTCATAAGTGAACTTGTTTACATCTACCAGCCAAGATACAAGATACATCAGATGTTTAATTATACTTGAGAACTATCTGATGTAGTTTATTTGTATAAATTTACACTTTTGGAACTGGACATAACATAGTCATAAGACACAATAAAAGAATCTAAAAATGGCTAATCTTTTTTAGATGTTTCAGACTTGATTTTGTGAATATGTGAATTCGTATCTAACTTAGAATTCATTTTGATCCAAGTGAAATGATACTGAGAAGACATCCTTAAAATTTATTAACTGTCTGTCCCGGTCAACTCTTCCCTGTGTTAACCGAGAGCTCCAAGTGATCTATCATCTCTGGCCAAAGTTGATATGGGTTCCTTCAAACCTCTTGGGAGCATGTACAATTTAGGATTTGTGCTTCAAAATGCTCCACTGATAGGATTTACATAAAGTAAAGGTTTATGCTATGTTTTCCAAAGTTAAGTAAACTAAATAGTAATAGGCTGAAATATTTATGGACAATAATTGTTAATGGTCTGTAGTGAGGGATGCCCATCTCCTTTAATTAACTACCAGAAATTGTTAGAAAAATACCTGCCCTTTTTGCCCACAAGATGTATTGAGGGCTTACTGTCAGCAGCAGAAAAGTTGAATGTGCATTGATCATATACACTTGATTTTAGAGTGATCTTACTGGAAACATTTCAGAAATCTTTCTGTTACAATATTAATTTCAAGAATATTAAAATATGTTTTTCTTTTACTTGCATTTGAGCTATACTTAGATGTCAAATTTTTTATCCAATTAATAACTAATGATAAGAGATTTATATTCCTTCCAGATTAATTTGAGGCATTTCTCCTAATTGAGTTGTGAATTATTATAAAGGTCATCTGCTTTCTCATATTATGAGAAAGATTGGTCCATGCAAGGATTATTCTTACTGTGTCTTAAGATGATGGCTTTTCTTTTTCTGTAAGCATATAAAATAGTAAATGAAGGAATCACTTTGGTACATCCATATGGTGGAATATTATGGACCCATAAAAATGATGCTTGTAGAGGGTAAGATATAAAATCATTTGTAGATTTACTCAGCTATATAAAAATAGGATGGAAAGAGAAAATTCCAAACTATTAGACATTAGTTTCCTGGTCTTTTACATATTTCTCTTCAATTATTCTTTATTGGCACCTGTTGCTTTTAGCAGTACCTCCCATAGGGCAGGGATTTTTGACTGTTTCATTTCCTAGAATTGCGCCTGATACAGAGGAGATGACAAATAGATCTTTTTGCTGAATGAGTGGATGATAAACAGAAAATTGCCATTTATTGAATATGTGCATTTTAAACATTCAATAAACTTTTCCCATCTAAAATTTAGGAACATGAGAGAAGTAATATATTTACTTCAACCTTTAAAACTTGATATGGGTTCACTCTACAAGCATTTTTTTGAGTGTAGAAAGTAATCCATTAGAAGTTAAAGCAAAGTGATATTTAAAATTTGATTGTTAAAAATGTGTTCTTAAATTCCCTCAATAGATTCTTCAATTTGAAGATATCTTGGCCAATACTTTTTACCGAGAACACTTTCGAATGTACATGGAGAGGATGGACAAGAGAGCTCTGATTAGTTTTTGGGAGTCTGTGGAATATCTGAAGAATGCTAACAAGGTAATATATATATAGGACCAAAGGAATATTCACCACTAGCTGATGAAAACATGCGTGTTTGTATATCTGTTTTTCATGGAAGCTGTAAGATAGTGTACATTAAAATAATATTTTAAACCAAATATAATATTGGCATTTGTTCTAGCCCATAATGGTAAATAAAATAAAATTTTATTTTTGTAAATGATGCTTTTGAATGTGTAGTCAAGGGAAAAAAAGATTCGTAACTGTGTTAGAATAATGAATTTAGCTTCAGGTAGTTATTTTTTAACAGTACAAAAAGGCATATGCATACCCCCATTGCTATTATAACAAATTTGTTTTTGTCAGCCACACCTCCAACTCATAACCTTGTTATTTTTAATATCATAATGTACATGTTTTATACTACTTTTCTCTCTATTTTGTTAAAATCTGATTGTGTTAAGGAACACAAAAAACATTTTGGTTGCAGGTGCCTCTTACAATTAAAGGGCAACAATAAGCATTGTGTGTGTTTTGTATTTTTCAAGTTCTCAATATGTATTTAAGAATTAAAGGATGTGAAATAGATATGTACATATATGTCTATAAATATACTTAACTATGTATAACATAATAGATATATTTTGGGAGACTTGTTAAAATAAGCACAAAGAACACTCTCTACATTACTCATTTACATTTCATGTGAGTGTTGCTAGACTTTAATATCAACTAAAAATACATCATAAGTCACTAACTACATTAAGGAACTAAGTCCAGTCTCATAGTATTTTTAAATCACTTTGGGAATGACTTGCCTTGTTAATTTGTAAGCCACAAATTACCTCATTTTACCCAATGTTGTATTTGCCAAATTTATTACATATTTTATTTACCAGATTTGACTCCAAATGACTTTGGCTGCTCTCAGAGGAATGTAAAGTATCATCTACAGAAGTTTTCTAAACTACTGAAAATCATTTGAAAGATTTTAGTAGCATAAGATCATATAAGCTTCCTCAAATAGCTGTATTTTGACCTAGCAACATGGTTTGAATGCACAAGTCTCAGGCTATTTGTCAAATTCACAATATTTATTAAATTGTCATTAATTGTTACTACTGTTGAAAACTTTGTGTAAGATTCCTAGAGTTAATGAGATGCGTCATGAAGAAATGTAAAGATTATGTTAATTAGAAGAGATATTTGTATTTTCAAAGTAGGCTGGCTATGATGACCCTAGTGTGATGTTTGAGACTAAGCTGTCTAATACAAGCTTGATTACAATGGAATAAGTCATCATTCTGAAGGATATTTTTCTCGTTTTCTTAAAATTGCATAATTATACTGACTCTTTTCTGGAGTGAGAAATAGCTCTTCCAGTTATTTATATTAAATAAGAAAGTCAAATTGAATTTAGCTGGCAAATTATATCCCTGTAGCACTGAGATTTATGAGAAGGAATCCATTGCAAGAAGAGATTCTTATTTTCTTATTATCTTAGTCTTATTTTCTTCCATGCAGCATTAAGAAAAAATTACAATTTGCTAACTATTCAACATAAAGTGTTCATTTTAAGGAACCTGCTGTTTTCTCAGGGTCTGACACTTACCCCTGGCCCTGAACATGCATATAAAAGCCAAAGCCCCACACCAGTGTACACATTCTAAATGTCTTCCTTCCAGCTTTAAAATGCAGAGAATTCAGAAGAAAATTTTTCTCAGAGATGATATTTTGCCCCCTTTCTTCATTTTCCTTTTTTTTCAGAATGAAATCCCGCAATTAGTTGGCGAAATTTACCAGAATTTCTTTGTGGAGAGCAAAGAAATATCTGTGGAAAAATCACTTTACAAAGAAATCCAGCAGTGTCTGGTAGGAAATAAAGGCATCAAAGTGTTCTGCAAAATCCAGGGAGATGTTTATGAGACCCTGAAGGACAGATATTATCCTTCATTTATCGTCAGTGACCTGTATGAGAAACTGATGATAAAAGAGGAAGAAAAACATGCCTCACAGTTGATTTCCAACAAGGATGAAATGGTGAGTCACTTCTAATTTTCTGTGCCTGCTCTTCAGGAGTGTGTATACTTTGAGTATGATTAGGTGGGCACGTATTGGATAAGCCACATCTGGTGTGTTCCCCGGTCTTTTAGCATATAGGAAGGACTTTATGTAGAACTTGAGGGCGAATTAGCTTGTTGCTGCTGGTCGTGTGCACTTCTTTCTTCGTCCTTCTGACCAACTGGCGGCCCCTGCTGGCGCTGAGTCAGAGACCTCCCTGCCCTGTCTGCCCGAGAGAGCCCAAGCTTGACCCCTGAAAACTGAGGGCAGAAGATCCGCTGCGTGGGACGTTTGTGACTCAGGCCAGATAAGAGAATCATCAGTAGGACCTAGTCCAGCCCAAGAATAGACAAAGGATGGGGAGAAAAGGGAGGAGAGAACAACAATGTGGGAGGAATTACGGGAAATATTTTGGAGTTTAAAAAAAATCAGATGAAATTAAGATGTTCTGAAAGAAACCTTGCCCAGCCACACCTTAAAGTCTAATTTTCTTACAGTGTACTAGATCATTTTGGATAGCCACATTTGCCACCTCTGATTTGCTGTTAATGACTTTTCTGAGTCTTAAGATTTGTTACAGTAAAAAGAAGAATGTAATCACGTTGCATAGAAAGATTATATTCATTTTGGGTTCCTTCTTTCTGTCCAGTTCACTATATCTCAAGCCCTGAGGAACCAAGTGCTTGTTCTCAATGATATTAGAGGCTGGCACCTCTGAACTGTTGTTAAAGTCATTCATTCAGACTTAAAAAAAAACCCAAAAAACTTAGTTACTTTGTTCTCTACATTTTCAGGGTATAAAGCTACTAAACTGATTGGTCCAAAGCCCATTACTTAGTGCATTTTATTTTTAAGACAGGAGAGTTTGTTTGAACTGTGTAATCTCTCTACCTCAAAAATTAAGTTGGTTAATATGCTAAATGCCCTAGAGAGGCTATTCAAATTAATAAAAACATCAATACCCAACAGATAAATTGAATAAGGACTTGTGCTGGCAGTTGCTATGAAAGAGAATAGTAAACAAACATGAAAAAAATGTCCAGCTTCCTCTAGGACTCAAAGAAGGTAATATTACTGATCTTTTGTCAGCTTCTACTCTTTGTTCCAATAATCACTCTTAGCTATGTATCCTAAGAAAATAACTAAAACATAGAAAAAAATTAATGCACAATGAAGTTCATCTCAGTCCATCTGGGACAGCAGAAAAGTGGAATCAACCCATGGCAGGAGCAGCCCTAGAAATATGCCTCAGAACATTTTCAACTCGTAGAATACTATGCAGCCATAAAAATGACAGATTTGAAGACTAGAGTATCCTCAGGGTATGCAGCATTGTATAAGGTAGAACACCCACTTGGATCATCTTAAGTCACTTTTGGATGCTCAGCATTTTACTTATAAAATGATCTCCCTACTGATTTGAAAAATACATTTCTAGAGAAGGGCTGAACAAAGTGTATCCTGAAGATAACTTGTGCTGGTAGGAATTTGGATATTTTATCCTAAAGAGACTGGCATGAGTTTTTTATAATATTCTTAGGAGACCTAACGGAAACCAGATCTTACTGTCTTTGTCAAAAGTTAGACACAGAGCATTCGGGTTGAGTTGGGAAGATGACTCAGTTGCCTTCCCTTGTTCCATGGATTCCCTTGGGTGTACTATTTAGGAAGTAGTGGAGTGGAATTTCCCCCCTTTCTCTAGGTTATTAAAGGTTAACTTTCCCCTGCAATTCTGAATACCAGTTACTTTGGTTCCAAATACTTGGTTTTTTCAGTTTGCTGAGAAAAAGCAGTCTGCTTCTAGGCTACTAGTACTTTGGAATAGTGCCTCATAATTTTATAATAGATAATAATTAATGAATAGTCCATTGTTATAAGATCTGGTGGTTCCTGTGACCTTTTCCCCCAGGGCCGGGGAAGTGAGGCTGGTGAGGAAGCTGTGGATGAAGGCGCCAGTCGGATTAACGAACAAGCCAGTTTTGCTGTGAACAAACTACGAGAACTAAATGAGAAACTTGAATATAAAAGGCAAGCTCTAAATTCTATTCAAAATGCACCAAAACCTGACAAGAAGGTAACTCTTTCACTTTCAAGGCTGTCTTTGAAAATTTCCATTTTTCTAATTTGATAAATATTTATTTTCAGTTTATGTTGAGAAGTGTCAGTTTCTTTAAAAATAATTTTACCTGTAAGTTCATTATTACTTTTTTGCTTCTGGTGTAGAATTTAAAAAGCAGTCGTTTTTAGTCTTTCATGACTTGGGATTTTTTTCCCAATTATCACTCTGTGTCCTCTTACCTGGCTTGCCTACATTACCTTTGGGGTAGCAGGCAAAGCTTTTTCCTTGTGCCAAACTCATTTCTGGAAGTAAATTAACTGCTCAAGGACAATCTTTTGACTTTTTTTCTTCCAAATGCTGAGAGTACAATTTAGATAACCTCACAGATGTATGCAAAAAAGAAATTGTTTTGCTAAAAGTCAATAGAACTGGAAAATTTAAAAGTGTAGACAGCAGCAGCTCAGTAATGGACATTTCTCAAATGCAAACAGTGGGGTGGCTTTTTACTTTGTGTTTATGCCTGTTTGGGTCCAGCAAGGAGGATTCTCTTGTTGACACTCTCTGATCTGCCAAATTTGATCTCCTTTGGCACTTCCTGAATATGTGGCCAGCAGCACAAGTGAGGAGGAAATGCATGATGCTGTGCTGGTCGCTGTGGAGAATCAGTGAAATGCAGAGTGTAGCACCTGCCGGTAGGGTGCAAGTATGCTAATTGCAGAACTAAAACAGGCTCACAGAAACAAAGCCGATAGTCACAGCCCTTACTGATGATAAAATGCAGGATGATGGTGTAGGCAGGGTGGGTTTCCTGCGGGCTTTCCCAGGAAGAACAGAGTCCTTGTGGATGGCATGTTCGGGAGAGTTTTAGGGCAAAGCTGCTCCCCTCAAACTACAGAGTCACATAACCATAGTGGTTTTCTCATATAAGAGATCCAAGGAGATGGTGAGCATAACATTTAAAAAAACTATTTATTTTTAAAAATTGTGGCAAAACATATAGATAACAAAGTTTTATTTTAGCCCTTTTTAAGTGTACTGTACAGTGTCAAGTGCATTCACACTGTTACACAACCGTCATCATCACAGTCTATCTCCAAAACTCATTTTAGCGTGCAAAACTGAAACGCTACCCATTCAACAATTCCTCATTCCCCCTGCCCCCCCACTCCAGCAACCACAGTTCTACTTCCTGTCTCTTATGAATTTAACTGCTCTGAGTACCTCAGGAGTGAAATCATATAGTATTTATCCTTTTGTGACTGGCTTATTTCACTTAGTATCTTCAAGGTTCATCCATTTTGTACTGCATGTCAGAATTTCCTTCCTCTTCAAGGCTGAATACTATTCCATTGCATATATAGATGACATTTTGTCCAGTTGTCCATCAATGGGCACTTGGTTTACTTCCATCTTTTGGCTATTGTGAATGGTGCTGCCATGAACGTAGGTGTACAAATGTTTCTTCAAGATCCTGCTTTTGATTATTTTGGATATGTATCCAAAAGTAGAATTACTGAGTCATATGGTGATTCTGTTTTTAATTTTTTGAAGAATCTCTATACTGTTTTCCATAGAAGCTGCAGTATTTTACCTTCTCACTAACAGTGCATAAGGGTTCTAATTTCTCTGTAACCTCACCAACACTTGTTATTTTCCATTTTTTACATAGCAGCTATTCTCATGGGGGTGATGGTATCTCATTGTGGGTTTGATTTCCATTTCCCTAGTGATTAGTGATGTTGAGCATCTTTTCTTGTGCTTTTTGGTCATTTCTGTTTCTTCTTTGGAGAAATGTCTACTCAAATCCTTTGCCCATTTTTGAATCTGGTTGTTTGTTTTTATTGTTGAGTTTTAGGAGTTCTCTATATATTCTGGATATTAATCCTTTATCAGATATGTGCTTTGAAAATATGTTTTCCTGTTCTGTGGGTTGCCTTTTTGCTGTGTTGATAGTGTTCTTTGCAGAAAAGTTTAAAATTTTTAACCAGTTCAATTTTCCTTTCTTTTGTTGCCTGAGCCTTTGTTCCAAAGAAATCATTGTCAGTACAATGTTATGAAGCTTTCCCCTATGTTTTCTTCTAAGAATTTTAGTTTTAGCTCTTACATTTAGGTCTTAGATTCATTTTGAGTTAATTGTTGCATATGGTGTATACAACACTTGTTGAGAAAATTATCCTTTTTTCCCATGAATGGTCTTGGCACCCTTGTCAAAAATCATTTGACCATACATGTGGAGGTTTGTTTCTGGGCTCTCTATTCTATTCCATTGGTCTGTATATCTGTCTCTACGCCAGTACCACACTGTTTTGATTAGTGTAACCTTGCAGTAAGAAATAAGGAAGTATGAGTCCTCAAGATTGTTTTGGCTAGTGAGTCACCTTTGAGATTCTATATGAATTTTAGGGTGGATTTTTCTATTTATGCAAAAAATATCATTGGGATTTTGATAGGGATCTTAGCATCTTAGCAATATTTATTCTTATCTATGAACATGGGATGTCTTTCCATTTATTTATGTCTTCTTTAATTTCTTTCATCAAAGTTTTACAGTTTTCATTGTAGAAGTCTTTCACTTCCTTACGTTAATTCCAAAGGATTTTGTTATTTCTTAAGATATTGTACATGGAATCTTTTTAAAATTTCCTTTTTGGATTGTCCATTGTTTATAGAAATGTAGCTGATTTTCATGTGTTGACTTTATATCCTGCTACTTTGCAGAATTATGTAACACTTTAATGGTTTCATAACTCCCAAGATATTTTCCCTGTGGCAGATTATTTCCAAGTTGAGGGAGGAAATAATTCTAATAGAGAAAGATCGCACAGACCTTCAACTGCACATGGCAAGAACGGACTGGTGGTGTGAGAACCTTGGAATGTGGAAAGCTTCCATCACCAGTGGAGAGGTAGGTTTGACTGCTGTTCCTCCCAATTTATTTAAAAAGTTTGACTTTATGAAACAAGATTTTGTCCTGGAGAATTAAGGTTGAGGACAGAAAACTTTTATTTGTTGTTTTAGACGCCTTTATCCTGCCTTCCTTCCCCCATGTCCTGCCTTCTGGCTCACCCGTGACTGGGAGCTATTCTAGGTTTCCTGGTCTAGATCTGATATCACTCCACTTAAGACAGAATGCTGTCCTTATTCACAGGGATGGTAAGCAATTTTCACATCGGAACAGTTAATTTTCTTGAATTCCCTTTTTTTCATTAAGGGTTGAAGTGAAATGGAAAAAACACTATTTGAAATTTGGAGATGAGAAATTAAAAATTGAAGCATTTCTGATTGTTTCATTCTGCTGACTTCAATTACTTGACTCTCAGTTGCTCAAAGATCTTTAATAAACAAATATTTTGTCCTTTGATTTAAAAAATATTTTGCTGTTCTTTAAGGGATAATGGGTAACAGTTTTTAGGATATATTGTATCCTTTTTCTTTATAAAAAATTATTTCTTTTAAAGAAAGATGCATGTGGTCATTTGTATTTTTAGTGTTGACAGCTCCTTCCATCCCACCTGCCCTACCATCAACCTTGGAGATAAAGGTCAGGCCCACCATACAGCACCCGAATAACAAGATCCTGAATGAGATAGTGTTAACATTTTGCCCTATCATTGTTTCAAATGCTCAGCTTGTTAAATTTGCAAGGACCTGTTTGCCTAGGTATCTTTGTTCATTCCTGCCTTTCCCACCAACCCACTGGGAAAAGAGTGGCTTGACATTCTTACTCAGGGTGTGGGGTGGGGGTGGGGGACTTAAAATCCACAACCTAAATTCACTTCTGGATTAGATAGTAAAACAATGAAACAATGTACATTCTCCAAGGGCTGTCCTGAAGGCACACACATTGCACGAGAGCTTAGCCAATGTCTTAGTATGTCGTTGGCCCTTAGCACCCCATGAAGGTAGGCTGCAGGGTAGTATGGTTTTTCTCTGGGGAGGCTGGGAGCAGTGGATCAGCGCTGAACCTTGGGAGACCATATAGAAGCCCTTGACTATTGCAGATGAAGTTATCTTTAGGGTGGAAGCCTAGGAAGGGGGTAGGCTCAGGGGTATGTGATGTCTAAAGGTGGTAGAGGAGGCCTATGGGGGGGAAAGGACACAAATTCTGTCACCTCCTCAGCTCTTCCTGGAGCTGCCCCTGACATTTAGCAAGTTTTAAAAATAATTTTCAAAGACAAATACTAATGAGGGTGGGGGAGGAAGAGCCCTCATGGGTCCCTTTGCCCTGGTGATTGGTGGTTACTCAAGAGCTTTCAATGGTACTTTGGTCAGAAAAGATCACAAGACTGGACCCCGACAAGTTGCCTGGCTTGTGAGTTCATAGTCCCATGTGGGACTAGGGAACTGTGTGGAGGAGGTGTTTACATCACACCAGACTCCCCTGAGTTCTGAAGCCCGCTTACCAGCTGTGTGATCCTCAGGCCCTGCAGTGACCTGTGTGTGTCTCCGCTTCCCCGTCTTAACAGTGGGATCACAGCCACATTCTCAGAGCCCAGTGGGCGCTCAGTGAATCTTGCATCTCTTTCCGTTGCCTTTCTTATTGAGCCTTTCTCTCTAATTCAATTTATGATGCTAATTCAAGCTTAAATTCAGTGTATTTTCTTTTTGTTTCTTATCTATGTCAAGAATAATAGTGACCTGAGTTATGATGGTGTGTGTATACATGTAAGTCTGTATGTATGTGTGTAGTTGTTAAGGAATTATCTGAATTGGAAGGTAGAGGAAATTATGTTTCCCAACATAAAATTTCATGAAAATAGAAATCATGGCTTGTGGAATCCTGAAATTTAACTGGGGAAGCCCTCATCCTTCTCTGAGAGAGGTTTGGTATATCTAATACCCTTTTGCTGTTTGTTTTTCTCAAGGAAACACAAGATGTTAAGTTTGGTATAGTTTATTTTGCTGTATAACAAATAACCATAAATTTCATGGCTTAAGACAACACCATTTATTAGCTCACAAGTCTATAGGTCAGAAGTCTAGCACTGTATGACTGTGTTCTCTACTCATTTATCATAAGGCTGAAATCAAAATGTTAGCAAGACTGAGTTCCTGTCTGCAGACTCTGGGGAAAAATCCACTTCCAAGTTCATTAGATTGTTGGTAGAATCCCAGTTCCCTGTAGTTGTGGAACTTAGAGCTCTGTTCTCATACTGTTAAGTACTTACTCCAAGATCCTTTCCATGTGACCCTCTTCAGGTCACACAACATGTCAAATCCTCTTTGTACTTCCAACTTTATGACTTCCTCTCCCACTACTAGCCAGAGAAATCTCTCTGCTTTTAAAGAGCCCCTGTGATTAGGTTAGGCCCACCCAGATAATCGCCCTATTTGAAGGTCAGTTGTGCCATATAACATAACCTAATTGCAGGCATAGAATCTATCATATTCAGTCCTGGGACTTATGAGGGCATACACACCAGGGAGAGGAAACTGAATCTTGGGGGAACATTTAAAAACCTTGCCTACCACATCTGCTCACCATGCTTTTTATTGTATTTGTTTGTTTGTTTTCCCAAGGTTACTGAAGAGAATGGTGAGCAAATGCCCTGTTACTTTGTCTTGGTGAGTTTGCAAGAAGTTGGAGGAGTTGAAACTAAAAACTGGACAGTCCCCAGAAGACTCAGTGAGTTTCAGAATTTGCACCGGAAACTTAGTGAGGTATGAATCCTCGTGAACACGAGATTTAGAATTACTAAGCAAGAAGAGATCTAACAGTGCATTTCAGTTTTTACACGTAAGGAGACATTAATCTTTCTTGACGTTGATACTGGCAAAGAAGCATTTTCAGCCTGACATTTGGAAATCTCAAATCAAACTGTCTAGAGGACTGATAATTGTCTGATCCCCATTAAACCCCCCTAGAACCCCAGAGCTGGAAGAGCTAAGGGATTGTCTAGGGCCAGCTGTTTTGAACCTGCCAGTTGTGAGCCATTTGTAGGTAGTGAAATCAGTTACTGGTGAAGCAATAGAGAGAGCATAGAATATATTGGATTTCACATGACAAGCAAGGGAACCAGTGAAACAACATGGTTGACAGCACAAACTGAAGCCAGAAGGCAGGAGTTTGGGTCCTACCTACGCTGCTTACTAGTTGTAGGGCTTGGGACTTGTCACTCTGACTTGGTGCCTCTTTTTCCTTCTCAGTGAAATACAAATACTGATAGCACCTACCTCACTACCTCACAGAGCGGTTGTGAGGAGAGAATAAACCCTCAAAGCATTTAGAAGAATGTGTGGCATGTGGTAAACGTTGTGTTGTTAACAGCAGGACTGAGCGCTGCTTCATAGAACTTTCTGGGCTATGTGTGTATTTCGTATATAGGATGTGTGTGTGTGTATATGCCTGTGTGGTGTGAGTTGCAATATGTATTTGCTACAGTGGGTTTTAGTTAAAAATGTTTGAAAACCACAGTCTAAGTCAATTCTTCTATTTGATCGATGAGGGAAAGTGGATCTATTACAGGATGTCTCCATGCAGAGTGGCCAAATTAGGTGGTCGTATTAGCAATTCCTGCTCCTCCCATTATCCTCAGATTTGCATCTTCTCTAATACCTCCTACTGGAGGTAATTGCCCTTTACCCCAGCAATTAAAAAGTCCTACTATCCCATTTCCTTTACATCCACTTTTCTTTTGCTCAGAATGAACTGATTGATATGGTAAAACCCATGGGTCACCTCTCAGGCTCCTCTTTTGCAAATGAAATATGTCTATTTTCTTTAACCTCCAAGGGTGACTTTTTTTTTTAACTCTTTAAATCACTAACTTCTGAATGCTCCAACTTCTTCAACAGCTCTTAAAATGATGGTGGCCCAAACCGAATGGATTCTCCAACTTTTCTCAAATGAACTGTGGTCACCCCAGTAGTGTGGAAAGCAGAGTATCTTAACATAAGAATAAATTTTTCCCAAAATTGTTCAAATAGAATTGGCACCACAGAAAAATGCATAATTTGCCAGAGCCCAAGTTTAGCATCAATCTAGATGCTGATGAAAACAGAAGGAAGGAGGAGATGTAGGGGAGATTTTGAGAGAAAATAAATGTGGAAGATAACATGTTCTTTGAAAATCAAAAGCAATTAGGCTGAAGCATTACAGGAGATAGACCTTTATAGAACTCCACATCTGTCCTCTGGTCTCATCGCCACAGCTTTCCTCACGCGTGGCCCAAGGACTGGCTCCCCCTGGGGTTCCCTGCCTTGTGAAGGACCCTTCCTGTTGACAGCTGACAGGGAGCCCCTTCCAGGTCCCTGATGGGTTTGATCTTCCCTTCCAGCTCTCTCTGCCAGCTTCATTTTTCTAACATTTTCTCCTGAAGTTGAGCCCTGAAATATAGAACGGTCTAGGGTCAGTGCCGTTGTATGTGTGCTATTTCAGAGGGCTCTAAGGAGAGGCTCCTTTTCCTTCCCACCACCCGAAGCACTTACATGCCCTTGGGGAATCCCTTGCCTTGCCATGGCCAGGCCGGTGGGGCCACTGTGACCCTGATGATGGCCACGGAGTAATGGCTGAGGCAGGCAGGCTGTGCCCGCTTACTTTTCACCACCGGCCGATTGCATGAAGCATATTCCGATGGCCCCAGTGCCTGGGTGAAGGCTGGTGTTTGGAAATGGGGGCAGGGCCTGGACCATTTGAAGCCCACTGTCCTCTTAGTGTCTGAGGGGCAGACTGCAGGGTCCTGTGGGAAGTGGCATAAAGAACACAGACTTTACAGTCAGATGGGCCTGGGTTCTAATCCTGGATCAGGATTAGATGTAAATTTTATGTTAAATATGCCACACTCTTTCCATTGTCTAAGTTTGTCAACTTTGATGATTTTTTACAGAGATATCGTAAATGAAACACATTCTAATAGAAAGACTTTCTTCCTGTGAGCCGGGTGGCAGCCCTGGCATATTGTGCTGCCCGGTTGGGGTGCAGAGTCCCCCTTACCAGCCCGGCTTCCAGGCTCTCGTGGCCTGGGGGGAGCTTGAGCGCTCTTGGTCGCAGGCCCCCTTCCTCTGGGTTCCCCGAGCCCGACCAGGACAGGCAGGTTTTCAAGATCTTAAATCTCGGAGGATTGAAAGTGCCGGAGGAAGAGACTTGGTCTATTCTAATTATGTCGCTAAATCGTCTTTTCAGATTAAAATGTCATTCGAGGGCACTAACATGTTCTATTTTCCTCCGCAGTGTTTCCCCTCCTTAAAAAAAGTCCAGTTGCCTTCTCTTAGCAAGCTGCCTTTCAAATCTATAGATCACAAGTTTATGGAAAAGTCAAAGAACCAATTAAATAAGTTTTTACAGGTAAGCACCTGAAAAGTTTGGATATGAGAAGAAAAATGAGTGATGTGGGATTAAACTGTTAGCATTCTCAGAGCTGGTTTGTTCCCTTCCTGCTCTCACAGGCCACACCAGATCCTCAGTAGCTTTTTTGTTGTTGTTGTATTTCATTTATGCTACACATACAGCAAATGCAGCTATCTCTGCTTTCACAGAGCAGACACACCCTCTTCAGCAGCACCCAGCCTGGGAAACGGACTATATCGCCAGCACTCCACCAACTTCCTCCCTGTCACCGCTCCCCCAGCCCACGGTGGTCCTGCTGACGCCCAAGGGCACAGAGAGTTACAGCTCTTGCTGAACCCCCTGTAGAGGCATCTCACAGCGGGCTCCTCAGTCTCCCTTCTGTCCGGGGGATTCAGTGCTGGTTGTGGGTCGTTGGTTTACAGGGCTGTGTGGGTCTTTCAATGCCTGAGTGCCCCCCGGCCAGCCTGTTCTGGTGTCAATGAGCATTTGGGGCATTCTCAGTGTGGGGCCGTCATGAGAAGTGCTTCTCTAAACTTCTGGTGCTTGTCTTTCAGTGAATATATGTGGCATGATACCTAGGAATTTGGGATTTTCTCTTTTTCAAAGTGGTTGTAGCAATTTTTATGTAAGGGTTCTGACTGCTCCAAGCCCCACCATCACTTATTTTCTGCCTTTTTCTTTTTGGCTATTCTGGTGGGTATGTAGTGGTATCTCACCATAGTTTTAATTTGCATTTCCCTGGCCTCTAATGAAGTCAATAATGATGACTAATGCAGACTTAGCATCGTAGGAGTTTTGTGTGTGTTTGCGGATGTGAGTCTCGTCAGACCACGTGTGTTGCAAATATCTCCCTTTCTGTGGATGGCCTTTTCACTCTCTTAATGAACATAAATTCTCAATTTTAATTTAGTCAAGCTTATCAATATTTTCTTTTATGGTTAATACCTTTCAAACTTAGGATATCTTTGCTTAAGATTTGCATTCCAAAGTCCTCAAGATATTCTCTTAGCTTCCTCTAGATATTTTGTTTTCCTTCAGTCTGTTTTTATAGAGAGTAAGGTCAGACAAAGGTATGCCATCCTCAATAGGAACCACTATTTTTTTGTCCTTAGCAGGGGGCCCTCTATATTCAGAGTATAGTTCAGTCACTCAAAGCATGGACCTCAAAGCCCTTATAGTTCTCGAAGGCATGGAATTTTGCCTTGTAAACCACTTTTCCTTGTGCAGTCTTAGCTCGAAGTCCTGAGATTTTAAATAATGGATGTCGCCAAATTTTTACTAAAGGCGGTATTAAAATACAATCATTGAACAGAAATACAGATCATAGTCAAGATAGGTAAGTTTAAGCCAGAGTTGTCTTGACAGTATTAGTCTCTTTTTCTCTCGTATGTTCATCTCTCCCTCCCTCCCTCCCTCCTAGTCCACCCTAACGTGCATTTGCACATTTAATCATCTGAGAAAGGAAAAGCCTATTTGTTGGGCTCAGGGGCCCAGGGAAGGCAGGAGTGGCACCAGCTGCCCATGCCTTAATCCCCTTCCTCTGAGGCAGAAGCCGCCCGTTCTCAGGCCAGTCTTCCGCAAGGCGCCTGACACGGGGCTCACGGGGATGCTGGTGGTGCCCGTCAGACACCGACCCCCATCCCCTGTGTGGCAGTATTGTGAGATCTCTTATTCTAGGGAGGCTCAGAGGGTTTATCCCACTTTTGTCAGAACCAGTATAATATGAACACTGTGGACCAACTCCCCTGACACTAGGACTTGACCTAGTCCTGACATCAGAGGTGTGCTGTGCTCCCCATGTGCCATTTGCCCTAAAGGGGGGGTCACATAAAAAATGGAGCAGTATTTCCTATTAGTTTATTCCTTTCTGAACCTCATATCTTTTAATACTAGACATTTTAACGTTCTCCTGATCACAGTGTTAATTTACTGTCTTATCAGTAGTCCTTGCTTGTGAAAACTGTTCTCCTTCCCTCTCTCTTCAGGCCAGATAAGTATATAAAGAACCTTAGGAAATTCCCAGTTTAAGGGCCAATAAAGAGTTATGTAATTACGTGAATAAGCACTGCTTAGAAGATGGCCTGTTCTTAGAAGATGGCAGGCAGTGCCACCAGGTGACAACTGAAAGTTCTTTTTTCAGCTCATGTGCAAAATCTGAACATGGCCCTAAAAGGGTGGTTGAGTGGCATCCTTGTCTAATGTGCATACATGGCCATTGAAACACGAATGAATGGCAGTTAAGTTGACTTTCAAAGGCGGTGATCCCTGGATCTATAAGTTGTGTGCATATTAAGAATTTGTTGTGCTGAGCAGTGCAAACTGGAGCGAGTTCTGTTGCCTGCACACTGTTTTCTCCAGAGGAAGATGAGTGCATTCCGTTTAATCTCCAGAGGATTGTTTGCCTTTAAGATAATTGAGAACTGATCTAAGACCTGTTATTTGGGGGCAAATGGAGGTGGTTTTGGGCTCAGAATTATGAGGACAGTAAATCCCGCGAAGCACTGAGTTCTGCCTGGTGTGCCTGGACTTGTGGTAGCCCCTGAAGCACAGCTGTATTCCCCCAGGAGTAATTCATCCTCTTCCTTCCACAGAATCTGCTTTCAGATGAAAGACTGTGTCAGAGTGAAGCACTTTATGCCTTTTTGAGCCCTTCTCCTGACTACCTCAAGGTTATTGATGTGCAGGGGAAAAAACCCACTTTTTCATTGTCCTCATTTTTGGAAAGACTTCCTCGAGACTTCTTCTCCCATCAGGAGGTGAGCTGTCTACAGGTCAGACCAATTTTGGAGCCTATTTAAGTGAATGTCTTTTTGAAAGCTGTTTGAAGTAACCGACGTTTGTTGAAAGCATGCTATTAATGGGGAAAAAGCAAATGCTTCCACTTTCAGTTGTTATCACTGTATTTTGGGACATGTGCTTGTGTTCCCCTACAAGCCACTTGGGAGAGTTAAGAACCAGAAATGAAAATTTACGACAAGGTACGTAAGTGAAGTGTGGATAAGGAAGTTCTGTAGGAGCCCCTGTATAAAAGGAGGCCCAGCCTGTCCCCGGAGAAGGGGGCTGTCACTGTGGGGAACCTGGAGCTAATATGGAAGGTTCAGGACAGGAGGACGTGTTGGTGGACAGTCAGTAGGTCCCTGGAGGGGAGAGTTTCTGTCATGGGCTGATGAACATGAGGCCAAGAGTAGAAGGAGGCCAAGGTAGGTCATGCCAGGCTGAGGAGTTTAATCTGAGGGAATGGAAAGCCCTGGAATATTTTGAAGTAAGGTGAATGTAGCAGTGACCCATAAAGGTAGCAGAATGAATAGAGAGATTGCAGATATTTGTGATCTTACATTCTAACCTCAGGCTTCTGTCCAGAGGAGGCTCCTAACTCACGTCTAGGCCGCTCAAGCCCCTTGCTGGCTCTCCAGGAAATTGCAAAGACCAGCTCTGAAATTTGGCATCTCCGTAGTTCACTGCCAAATGCCACTGCCTCTTCACCAGGACAGGTTTAATGAGTTTGGACAGAAAGAAGTGAGGATGGAAAGGAGCATGCTACCTCACGGTACCCTGGGCTGGGAGGAGAAATCAGGGCGCCCTTGGGCCTCCCTACCCAGGGGTCAGGGCTCTGCGGAAACCTCTCCCCTGCCAAGCATCTCTCCCACCGCTTTCCTTCATGGCCCCATGGGTGGTGTCTGGCTCTATTGGCCAGCTGACCTCTGTCACCCATATTCCTGAGCCCTTGGAGTTTACACCATGGCTGGGGTCACTCTGTGGAGTTACTCTCTGAAGATGGGTGCCGGCTGCCGATCCCCCGTCTCCACCTTCTCCCACCCCTTTGCAGTACTGACATTTCTGGGCTTCTTGCAAAGTTGTGCTGGCTTAGGGAACACCTGCCCTGTGACTTCTCAGTCCTTTGCTCTGCTCATCCAGTCCCCAAGTGCTGTCATTAGCCCTCTGTAAAGTTGTGCTGGCTTAGGGAACACCTGCCCTGTGACTTCTCAGTCCTTTGCTCTGCTCATCCAGTCCCCAAGTGCTGTCATTAGCCCTCTGGTGAGACCCACAACTTCAGGTGTTACCTCTGCAGACAGTAGAGCTAGCTTTCTCTGCTGTCCTTCCGCCTGCTGGGTCTGTAGCTGTGTGAGAGCACCTAGACACAACTGTGTGTCCGTCCGCTGGCCCACAGAGTGACAGACCACTGAAAGGCTGGATCCGCAGGGTGCTTATTTACTTTAGCTTGGTGCCCGGCGTATGATGAGTTTTGAACTGAAACTTGCAGATAAGCAGATCAGGAATGAGACTAGCTGACATACAGAATAAGAGCTTGAATCAGAGCTTTAGAAGTAACAAGAATACTTTAAAAAACACATTTCTTAAAAAAAGAAATAGTGCACATCAAATCCATTTAAGGTAAAGCCTTACTCGTAAAATGCAACATGGTTAGAAAACTATTTTGTTACATACTAATTCGCTCCTTATTCACACAGTGGCAGAGGTTTTTTCAAAATTATTTTAAACCTTGAATAAGGCTTACAAATTCAAGCTTCTCCCTGAGGTTAGATAAACATTTTGCCCTCTGTCGAAAATGCATGGATATCTGCGTCTGGAATCTGCGTCTGGAGAAGTTGAAGGATTTGTCATGTTGAAATTGTTTGGAATCTACACTCGAAAGGGAGAACAGGCCCACCGGCTTTGCCGAACGACCAGCTCCTTGTGCCTTTTCTGTGTCCCCAGGAGGAGACGGAGGAAGACAGTGACCTGTCAGATTCTGGTGATGATGTGGACGGCAGGAAAGACGCCTTGGCTGAACCATGTTTCATGTTGATCGGGGAGATTTTTGAGCTTCGAGGAAGTAAGCCTCTTTGTCACTATTCATGCTATTTGCTGGTGAAGTCATTTAACACTTAATATCCCTTTTTCCCCCAAATCAGACGCATATTTATATTCATTCAGCAAATACTTTGAAGGACCAAACAGGTACTACACTGTGGTAGGATCTGAGGATACAGCCTTAAGGAACTTAGGTCTGGATTTGCCCTGCACCCCATGTTCCCCTGAACAGAAGGAGAGAGTGCTTTGAATTTTGTTTATGTGGCTTAGCACAGCCTTCTTGCTTGATCAGCAAGAGATACACAAAAGATACTTTTGCATAGCAGAGGAAGAGCCCTCTGCTTAAAGGTGAGGTTTTGGTGCTGTCGAGGTGGTAGTGCAGCCAGGCCCACAGGACTGCCTCAACCTTGCCTTTTAACCACCTCACTTCCCCTAGAGGAGTGGCTGTCAGTGGAGAGGTGGGGGAATTTTGTCCCCAGGGGAGATGCGGCGATGTCCGGAAACAGTTTTGGTTGGCCCCTCTTGGGGGAGGGCGCTGCTGGCATCCAGTGGGCAGAGGCCAGGGATGCTGGCTGAACAGCCTGCAGTGCCCAGGCCAGGATGCAGTTACCCTGCCTTAAATGACAGCAGCGCCGAGGTGCGAAATCCTGCCCCAGCAGTCCCTGAGGGAGATGTACTCACAAGAAACCAGAGCAAAAAGAGTACAGAAATACTCCTTCATGAAGACCTGCTCGAGTGCCTCTGCCCCAGAGCACTACTTCCGTGAAAGGTCAAACCGGCCTGCTCAGCTTAGTCTTGAGTTCTGAATAGAACTCTGCCCGCCCACACTTTCTGCAGTTCAGTCATGAGGCCAGTATACGCGGTCATACTTGCAGCCTCAGTCCTAACCAGACGAGAGACAGGCGCCTAAAGGCCCCTAGCCACGTAGCAGAGGAAGCATCTGAGAGGAGCAGGGGTTTGTATGGTGCCACACGCCACCAACCAGGAAAATGCCGCCCTGAGAATGTCCTGGGCTCTGCCCTCTCAGATCAGCATCTTTTTCCCATGGGGTGAAGCAGGTGGGAGGAGGTGGTCCCATATAGGACATGGGGCTGTGTGTCTCTGTTTGTTTATAAGCCCTTAATACATCACTTACAGGATTATTAGCAGATGAGAGAACTCCAAGGGTTATTATAAACTTAATCTTGTTTAATCCTCACCATCCATAATAATGCCTGGTCCATACAGGGGGATCAATGAATCGCCTAGATGGAAGTACCCATAAATGAATAAGCAGGAAAATTTAAAAGTGCCAGAATGAATTATGTTGACCACTGCACTTTTTCTTTCCCTAAGCCAAAACTAAAACAATCAGCAGATACTTTGGGAACCTTTTGTTTTAAATATTGTTCTGTGGCAGAAACAAAAATATCTGAGATGTGCATTCTTCCTCCAGTGAATCTACACTGTATGGTTCCAAAAATGTAATCCACATTAAGCAATAGGCATAATTAAATTCTAAACTATGCAGAGATTTACATACAAGGATGTTCATTTTAGCATAATTCCAGTATGAAAATTTGGAACTAAGCTAAACTTCAGAAATAGGGGATGGTTCAATTAGGAAATGCCGATATGATGGAATATCATCCAAATATTGGAGATCTTTTCAGATGAAAAAGCTTTAGCTGTTCCATATTTCAGACACCTTTATATATTGATGTTTACCTTGATTCAGTGTAGGCAGGAAAACGAGTCCTCAAGATATACACTGATGCTTAACTTGACTCAGGATAGGCAGAAAATACTGGTTAGCACTTCCCCCCACCCCAAGTCTGCCTTTCCCTCAGGGAAATCTGATCTATTAAAGCCCAAATCCTCCCCGTTTCCCGCAGAGGAGAGGAGAGTGAAGCAGCACCCCTCTAGCCTTCTGGTCAGTGCACCCTGTGATGCAAAGAGACTGAGACCCGGGGGGGTGTCCCAGCCATCAAGGCAGGAGCAGGCCTCCCAGTCCTGTGTTGGCAATGTCATCTGCCTGCTCAGAAGCACATTTGGTTTTGCTAGTGACATTTCAGAGGGCAGTAAATAGAACGTCAATTATAGCGAGATGTGGTTTATTTGCCATCAGTAAAATCCCACTGCAAAAAAAGTCACTGCAAAATCCTCCGTGGCTTTGAACAAATGAGCCCTTGGAAGGAGTAAAGGGCTATTTTGTGGGGGGGTGGGGGGGGGTGGCATTGGGAGAAAGTAATAAATAGAGTGAGGGGATACTGGAGATGGAAAGATATTTGTAGCAAATTAGTTTCTGCTCCAGTTCTGTATACTAAAAGGGACCAATAATATAGCCTTTCAAATATTTATAACTGGTCACTCAGCTGTCTGCATCCTTCCTAGTAGCACATGTCCTCAGACCCTCTGGGTATGACCTACCTCTCTCCTGGCCTAGAAAGACCGAGTGAAGGTGTCACCATGGACAGACATGCTCCTCCCGTCTGAATGCCAGCCTAAAATGAATAAGTCTGCATGCTGGCGGCATGTGCTGAATTCCATAAAAAATTGAGGCATGGTTCAGACTCCAAGACCTGACTTACACTTAAAGGATTAACAACATTACTTTAACTGGATGCTTAGATCATTAAAAAAGTTGGAAATAACTTTAGAATCTTTTAAAGTCTTAGTACTAAGTGTGTTAATTGATTTTTGTTTGTTTGGCTTCCCTTGTCCAGAGTTGTTTGTGAATTTACTGCTTTTAGGTTTTCTCAGTGGTACAGAAGCCCTGAACTCCTGGCTCTATTATAGCCAGGTCTGAATTTCTCATGCTTATGTGTCAGTAGCTAAACATTTCAATGAGTGGAGGTGAATATTATAAATGGAAAATTTGGTTTATATTCCAGTTTGCAGACCAAAAATATCCTTTGCCTTCCTTTGGTTTATATTTGTATTCTTTACTTGTAAAAATGTGTCTTTGTGTTAGGGAATTAAGGGGCACTATAATTCGCAGTCACAATATAGGTAGGTCACAGGGAAGGCAGTACAGCACGGACAAGACAGGTAATGACTCTGTAGCGTCTTACTACACTGACTGACAGTGGCTGCAGTGGGGTTGGGGGGGACTTGATAATATGAGTGAATGTTGTAACCACAATGTTGTTCATGTGAAGATTTCATAAGATTGTGTATCAATGATACTTTAATAAAAAAAATCTGTCTTCATGTTAATAATAAAAGTTTAGCTTTTTGGAACCCTTCACAATGCTCTCTCATACAAAATATTGGCAAGACCGTCAGAGAGAAAAAAAACAAAACACGTTAATACTGCTCTTTTCCAGATGAGGAAACCAGGCTGGCACTCAGAGCAGGTTGGGAGGTGGCACAGGAGGGGTGTGAATTCACATCTCCCTCAGGAGCCAAGCTCCACACGTCTACCTTTCTTCCCCCAGACGAAGTGATCTGTAAACTACTCTTCAAATGGGAACAGTTAGACCCACCAGGTCATTAATATTTCAACACATTTGTCAGCGTTGGGCTACAGATGTTTCTCTTGCAGAGCAGTGTGTTGGAAAACTGGGCTTAACAAGCCAGACAGAAATGTAAAATAGGAATTGCAGTGTCTGCTAGTGGAAAACAGACATGTTGTCAGTAGCCCCAAGGACATCCGAAGTAAAGCATTATTTCTGCTTGCTAGCTCAGCTGTTGTTTAGGCACTGAAAAGCTGTAAAAAAAACTTAGGTTTCATCTCATTCTTTGCTAAGTAGAAAGTGAAAGCATGGAAGAATTTTTCTGGGTGGAGGTTTGTTCATCTCAGTCCCCACTCTGCAGATACATAGCCTTAGTGTTAGGACTCAGATTGAATTAAATGGCAAGATTTATGCTTTGTGCAGCTATGAAAATGTCATTGATTGTGCTATCCTGTGATAATACTTTTCCTCTGATTTCTATTTTAGTGTTTAAATGGGTGAGAAGAACATTAATTGCTCTTGTTCAGGTCACTTTTGGGAGAACCATCAACAAGTGAGTTGTATGAAATTAATATTTGAATGCATGCCCTACCCTTTACCTTGGCAGTCACAGCACCTTGTGATATAGTAGCCAGTGATTACTCTGATGGTATTTTATTTTCTCTTATTTTTTGTTTCTGACATGATTCTAAGATTGGATGGGAAAGCAGATTTCTGAGTGCATGGGGACCTCGATGAGAAAAGCTGGAGCTAGGTCCGGCATCTGGCTGACGAGGGTCAGCAGGTTCTGGGAGTACTTACTTGATGACTGGTTTGAGCATCTTGGGTGCAGTGATTTTATGTCACCTGGTGGCAACCAATTTAAAGTTTAGGTCCTAAGCCAAAATGAAAGTAGGGTGAGCATCACTTTGCAGATACTTATTTGAAGGGTAATGCAAACCATATTTTTTCTTAGAGTTGGGATAACATTAAAATGGCAAGTTGTTAATATTGGAGGACCCACCGGGTGTGCATGTGTATCGTATAACACCACGACAAGCCTTATGTTTGTTCTAAATTTTATTACAGAAACTATGTATTTTCCCTCTCCATATATGTATATTCTAAACTTTATTATATAAACCATATATATATTCTCTCTGTATATGTATTATGTATATTCTAAACTATATTATAAACTAATATAACTATATTACATTATCCATATACATAAAATTTAACTCTATACCCAGTACTCTTCAAGCGATAAGCATTATGACTTCCTGCACAGTAAAAATGTGAGTGAACTGCTAAAAATAAGGGGGAAAAAATCACTTTTGGGTACAGCAAAATATGTTTCAAGATGAAATTATTAGATTTTCCAAGTGAAAGATTAGTTGTCAAACAGAGGCACCAGGTTAATATGATAATTTTTTTCACATAAATCTCATAAATTTTTATGGGAAATATAGTGGAGAACATGTTCTTTATACTCATTTGCAAATAGAATATATTTTCCTTGTGGTCATAAACCAAAGTTCACTTCTCTATTTCTAAGATTTAAAAAAACATGGTGTTAGTGGCTAATTCAGTTGACTTAGTATCATAAGCTTTTGTTTTTTAATCAGAGAAATGGCCTGTTTAACTTATGGTTTCATTCTAAGGCAAACTTCTTTAGTATTGGCAGGCCTTGTATAAAGAAATTTCCAGAACGGCCCTGTTTTTCTCATTACTCCAGACTTGATAATTTATTTTCCTTTTCAGTTTCAGCAAATCAGCATTCTTGCCTTGCTCCTATTTATGATACTGGCTCTTAATTATAAAATGAGCAGCTGTGGTTTGTGAGTGGTGAACACACTTGGCAGTTATTTTCATGGAGCTGGAGGAGAGGCATCCTGCAGAGAATTTTCAGACTGTTAATTTCAATGGGCTTTTTATCAGGTAGAGAATTTATGAAGCACCTGGCCCTCTGCTATTTTTGCCTTTAGCAGATGATGACGCATCATAAAATTAAGCAGCAGTACAATATGTGCCTCTTGCCTTGTGCCAACTATAATTTCACAAACCAGAAATGCTTCAAAAGCTTCCTGTGGTTTCCTATGGCTAATAGAGAGTCAGACTTAAATTGATAGAAAATACTTCAGTGATGGCTTTCAGTAAGATTCACCTAATCTGAAGTTGCTAATTGAAATGTTCTTATTTCTTCACGTAATGCCAGTGAGTAACCCAAAACAAGAGTACAGAAGGAAACATTTCTGCTTTTATATAGATTTTTCTCAAGCAGGTCAGCAGGCTCTCTCTTAAGCAGTAGTCCCACTAAATTAATAATTATTTGGTCTGGTTACAAACTGAACAGTTCTAAGCAACATGGGGAAGTATCTTAGGAGTTACTTGCAGTTACAATCCATCAGCACAGTTTTAACTCAGTAGTTTACACTTCCATGGTGACTGATTACTGTGTGCCAAGGACGAGGCTTGAAAACATCTACTTTAGACACTACTTCTGAAAACCTTACATTGTCTCTTTAAAAATCTGGTTGGGAAGAGAGAGCCTTAAAGTGCTTTTTGATTTACTATTATCCGTGACTTGAGTTTGAAATTTCAGGTCTTTCTGGCACCCAGAATCTAAGATGATTCTTTTCCCTTTCCCAACAGAGAGACTTCCTCCTCCCAACATCACAACTACTCTTGGGCTCTTGAACTGTGTTTACTTGTCTCTTGACAGAGGAAACCTGTAATTGGTTAGGTCTGGACTAATGACAAATGAAATAGGGTTGTGTGGAAGACCTGGGTAACCAGATAAAGGCCCTTGATTCGTAACTGTGCAAGTCAAACATCTGCCCAGTTTTCATCCCCATGGAAATTTGAAGTGGCCAGATAGCAGTGTATGTTTTCAAAGCCCTTCACATTGCGGTGAACGGGTACCTTTTTCTCCTCGGCTCCGGAGCCCATGAGCTGTTACCCTGGGTCAGGTTACTCTGCATGGTGTTGCCTGCCATAGCAACACCGAGAGAGAGCTAGTGAATGAGCTTCATTCCTCCCCAGGACTTTAGGAGCTCAGGGAAGTTTTCCAGACCACTTTTAACAGTCGTTAGATGGCTTTATGCTTATCTGGGAATTGTTTAATCCCTTCTTCATATTTAAATGATAATCGTGCTGGATACAGTATTCTTGGTTCAAGGCCCTTCTGTTTCATTACATTAAATATATCATGCCATTCTCTTCTAGCCTGTTGGATGGCTTTATGTTTACGGTTGATAGCACTTCATGGAGAAATAGAAATACTCAAATATACTGAGTATTATGCACAGTCAGAGTAGTTGCAACTTCAAACAAAGCAGTCCATCTTCTCTCAGCTCCTGTCTTTACAGATTAAAAGGTACTGCGTGGCAAACATCTGAATTCAGTATAGTGACCAGTGAACATGTAAGCCCCAGGAATGAGGGCCATCCACTGTCACCTAAAGAAAAGTAACTTTTAGAGCCAGAGTTTAAAAATCCAATTCCTAGTATAGGCATCAAACACTTTAGATCAGGCTATGTCTTAACCTGCCCATTGATTAATGCCTTTTGAGAATAGAGGGTAAAAATTTTTAAAACCTTATCCGAGAAATATTTTTCTCTTAAAAGGCAAATCCGGGATACAGTGAACTGGATTTTCAGTGAGCAAATGTTGGTTTACTACATCAGTGTTTTCCGGGATGCTTTTTGGCCAAATGGGAAATTGGCCCCACCTACCAAAATCAGAAGCAAAGAGCAAAGTCAGCAAACAAAACAGAGAGCGCAGCAGAAGCTGCTTGAGAACATTCCAGGTGAGGCCTGAGTTCTGATCCTGTAAGTACAGAGATCAAAAGGGAGCATGAGCCCTACTGAGGCATTTTTCATTTGTCTCTCTCAGGAAACATTATTTACAATAAAAAAAAAAGGGTCACCTTTTTTCAAAAAGATTTTCCTTTTAATCATGTCTTTTAAATCATGTAATATACTAAGAACCTTAAGAACTGTATTGATGATAACAACTTTCTTCTAAGTAGAAAGATGTTTTAGAACATACAATTTTGTGCTTTAAGAATCCTGCTAACATACACTGCTTTGAAAGCTTGATCTGTAACTGGGTAGCAGTGTATTACAATTGTAGTTTGTATAAATGCATTATGTTGAAAAATTCTAAATTAGCGTATTTCTCTTCAAATGTTTGAAAAACATTATTATTTGTATTCTTCATGCCCCAGTGCGGTTATTTATTGTGTGCACATCATGTTATAGCTCCTTCACCAAACAGCTGTGCAGTATGCACTTTAGCAATGAGAGCATAGAATATAAACCCTATTTTTCAGATATGCTTCAGAGCCTCGTTGGACAGCAAAATGCCCGTCATGGTATAATAAAAATATTCAGCGCCCTGCAAGAAACAAGAGCCAATAAGCATCTGTTATATGTGAGTAATTTAAAGCCTATCCCAGAATTAACTAATGTCTTCCATTTTATGTTTCTGTTCACACATTGGGGTGATTTTAATCCTTTGTTTTCTTAAATCATTCTTGTTAGAACTCTGAACCCATTTTCTCTGCTTCATTTTTGTCTGTGTTCAGTTTGGTTTAAAAGAAGAAAGAAAAGTACTCCCAGGGGATACTAGCTGTGTCTCCCTTGACTCTGATGAATGTAATATTTCTGCGTGATGACTTGGTTTTCTTACTTCGGCAAAGCAAGGTGTGTCTGAGCCATGGATCTGTCTGTGGTTAGCAATATTAAATATTGTTGATGGTTTGAGAATGGTTAAGAGACCAGGAAATAAAGCAAGCTGATGCTAAATGGAGTTTATATGATATTAATTCCTTCTGTTTGAGAGTAACTTGTTTGGTGGGTAGTCTCAGACCTAAAATTAGACTTCTCTCTTAGGCCTAGATATTTAGAGTAAACACTCAGAGAGAAAACACATTTTTCTACGTTTTTTTTTCTTCTTTTCTTGGTCCAGGTGCTGATGGAACTGCTGCTAATTGAATTGTGTCCTGAGCTGAAAACTCATTTAGATCAACTTAAAGCTGGTCAAGTTTGAGACTGCACAAATAAACCACCAGAGAAATGTCTGTGTAATAATAGACATGAAACATTTTCCTCTTTTCCACAGAGGGCTTGACTCGGAACCACACTGATTCCTTATTTAGTTACCTCCCTCTAGTTCTCTGTGAAGTAAGCGGACTCGGGCAGGGTGGGGGAGGTACCCGATGCTATAGCAGGCAGCAGAAAAAAAGCACTTGTTAATTATTCATTTTTATTTTAATAATAATAGAAAAACTTTGAAAGTTCACACAATGATTAAGATGCAATGTTAATATGTCATAAGAACCTAGGAAATATTTTAAATATTTATGAAAACAGTTTTGTTTTAAAATGACAAACTAGGAATATTGTACAGTTAACTCCCTCAGCGAGGATTCTGAACATTCCTGTATTATTTCATGTGTATTGAAGAACATTGTGTGCGATGCTTTGTGTAAAATTCTTGTGGAAATTTTATTGTCTTTATTTTTTACCAAAGATTTCCCATAGTTTAAAGCCTTTGAAGCAATAAAATATAAAAATGAATCACAGGGTTCTATGATGTTCAAGATGCTCATATCTTAAAAAAAAAAAGGTTAAAATACATAAGGCAGTTTATGTATTTACCAAGGGCCTTTTTGGTAGAAAACGTGGTGCACATAAGTACTTCTGCAAGGAAGTATGAAGTTTTCTGCCTTCCTCCAGACACTGAATATGTGGAAAACATCGTTTTTAGTGTGAATGAGAAGAGCTAAACTAGTTCTTGAAATGGTGAGATCTGGAGCTGGGATGTGAGCTGGACTTTGAAGGATGAGCAGGAACAAGATAGGGAAACAAATGGGGAGGGAGGTTCACTCCAGGCAGCTTAGGGACTTGATCATATCATCAGGTCTTGTGGGTTGGTAGGGGCATTTGGTGGGATGCAGGGTACAGATGATGCCTTATTACTAGTGGGGCCACGGACAAGTCAGTCAATTTTTCAGGGCTTCATCATCTATTATGCCAGGATAATTAAACACTTTCCTCTCTCTAATCCCCCGAACTCTTGAAAGCAAAACAATTAATAGGCAAAGACTCAGTTTGAAATCCATGGAAGAGAATACCATCATACTAAAATGGTATTGATTATGTCATTGCTAGATCATACCTGCCAAGTTCTTGATGTGAAACCTAAGTTCTAAAAGATAAATGACTAAAAATTAGTAAACCTAATTTCATCTTTGGGACTCTTTTAGTTACAGCTCTTTGATCCTTTTTTTAAACCAGGGCAGTATTTGGCACTTCAGGAAAAATCCAAAGTTGACTGTTTATATGGATAAGAATTATCCTTCATAGGGATAGAGAAAGGACACATGCAGAGAAGAAAAGCAGTGTGAAGTCACCAAGGCCCAGGAACGTTTCGTAACGTGGTTACTGGTAATGTCCATCTTATGCGTAGACTGTAGTTGTTATGTTTATTCTGCAAATGAGAAAAATATTTTGACTCTTCAGTGTTTAGGATAAATTCTCACTTTAAGGAAAAAAATGAAAAAATCAAAACTCCTGTAAGATTCCTTGTAGCTGCTATCTCATGAAAAAGTGTAATAATCTAGAAGCCTCAACTCACTTGAATTAAAGCTGACAAATGTCAAGGTGGTCACTATGGCTTGCAGCCATGGAACTTTGCAGGGATCCACCTGCCAGAAGAACCAGCTTTACGGTAACTCCAGTAAACAAATTTAAAAGTCTGTGGTGGACTCACTGAAAATATTTAAGCATTGCGTTTTACCACACATGACATGTCAAATTCCCACGTTTAGGATGTCTCGGACCTGTGTTTTAGTGGCAGTTTAAAAAGTGGTCTTTACTTTGGGATGAAGAAAGATAGCATATCTATTAAATGTGCTATTAAAGTGAACATACACTGCTTTATTACATTTGTATTTTAAGATTCTTAAAGGCTTAAGGAAGTGGATTTAAGCGTGGAGGAAGAGAATCCTGCTTGGGAATTTGGATTCAGATGGTTGAAGGAATGTTACATGGATGGTATTAAAAGGATAGGAGCAAAGCAAAGGGTCATTTATTGTAGAAAGAGATATAAGTTTGGTATTATGAAATCCTGTAATGGGCTTGCCATATTAAGGGAGTTACTGGGGGAGAAGAGAGTCTTCAGTAGGAATTTTAAAAGAAAAAGACTAATTTTCAGGGGTATTTTCAGTTTATGTTTTTTAAGAGATTTAAGGGAGAACGGTATGACCATTTGAGGGCATCTCACAGACCTAAGTGTTGAAATTTCTTTCCTTTATATAAAGACAAAATGAAGTTCAAGTAATACAGTCAAATGAGAACATAAAACAGGAGCAAATAATTTTTTGCCAATATAATATATCTTTAGTGACTGGTACCTACATATTAATTATACTAAGATAAGAGCTTACTTAAATCTACTTTTGGAAAGGGTAGTTATGATTTATAAAACAAAGTCACATTAGTTTAATATGTTTATAAAGAAGGTAAAGTTAGGACATCTTTAAGACATATCATTTTCAGTGTATTTTCTTCATAGATGTATTATCACTATGCCATCTTCTGCATGTGGGTCCTACTATTTGTACTGTCAACTTTTGCCTTTGTAGATGTCATTGATATAAGGAAAACCTCTTATTAGTTTAATTTTTAACAATATTTAGTTATGGTGCTTATATTGATGATTTCATTGAGTTTTTTCCCCATATTTTATCCTACCTTGAAATACATCCAGGGTTTTTTAAAATGGAGAAAGTGAGTTGAAGCACAAAGAAACATGTTTCTTTAGTTATCCTGTCAAGAATATAGCAGTTGTTTTATTAATTAAGATCTATATTGGAAGATACAGAGGGGCAAGATTCTAAGCAATTTCTTAAACTCACTTTTTTTGAAGTTTATAACAAATTAACCACTTAGTTATCAGAATCTCTTTGAAGAAAACAAGATGTCCCAAAAGACAGTGCAGTCTGAATTTTAATAACTTCAGAAGTGTAAATGCTACACAAATTATTTTAATTTGAAAGTTTCTTTAAATTTTTTTCTTAGTTTTGTGAATTATTTAAATTAAATGACAAATAACAAATTGAAATTAAATTATAATCAAAATTAACAAAACTAAGGGTCAAAGAAATTTTAAAGAATCAAACTTTCAATGGTTTTTTTTTTTACAAGTCTGTAGCATTTATACTTACGAAGTTATTAAAACTAAACTGTACTAAGTCTTTTGGGACCCTTTGTATTTAAAGAATGGGAAAAGATAATTGCTTTATGGAATGGTTTTCAATATTTGATGTGTCTAAGTTAGTCTGTAGGCTAAGAGCTGGATCTTTGAGGACTCTTCCTGCCATTTGATCCTGTAGCTAGGTTTCAAGTTGTGAAATTATGGAATATAAATTCAAGAACAGAGGTGACATGTCATCAGCAACATACTCAGGATAATGTAACTTGGGGTAATAACCAAACATAGCCACTATAAAAATACCCACGTGCTAATGTGTTGGGATTGATGACCTCTGCTGAAATTATGGTCTAAATTCTTTGAAGAATAAGTAAAGAGTGAAGTTCATCTGCCAATGTAGGATTCAGACGACAAGCCTTAAAATCAAACAGAAGAGTCAGTTATTCAGGTGTATTTTGAATTGTTGGGTCTTACTTTTTCTTTTTTCTCCCTTTTAAAACATTCTTGGTTTGTTGTTAAAAATAGTTAAGTATGATGGATTCCAAGGGAATTTCTTAATTAAGATACATTTTTCTTGATATATAACTTCTTAATAAGGGAAGTTCAAATTAGCACATATGCAAAAAAAGACCACACTAAAAACAGCCATGCTGTTATTATCTGAAAGAGAGAAAATTTTATCAGTGCCAAGAGTAAAGGGAATTTACACACTGATGACAGCATTCTCTGTTATAAATTATTAAAATAAGTAACATAGAAAGCATTAACATTTGGCCTCAAACTTGCTATTATCTCATTATGGTGAAGAGCAGCATCTATAATAAAGCAGACTTTGCTACGACTAACATAAATAGATGGAATAGTGCATAATTTCATCAGCTTTACGGTAACTCCAGTAAACAAATTTAAAAGTCTGTGGTGGACTCACTGAAAATATTTAAGCATTGCGTTTTACCACACATGACATGTCAAATTCCCATGTTTAGGATGTCTCGGACCTGTGTTTTAGTGGCAGTTTAAAAAGTGGTCTTTACTTTGGGATGAAGAAAGATAGCATATCTATTAAATGTGCTATTAAAGTGAACATACACTGCTTTATTACATTTGTATTTTAAGATTCTTAAAGGCTTAAGGAAGTGGATTTAAGCGTGGAGGAAGAGAATCCTGCTTGGGAATTTGGATTCAGATGGTTGAAGGAATGTTACATGGATGGTATTAAAAGGATAGGAGCAAAGCAAAGGGTCATTTATTGTAGAAAGAGATATAAGTTTGGTATTATGAAATCCTGTAATGGGCTTGCCATATTAAGGGAGTTACTGGGGGAGAAGAGAGTCTTCAGTAGGAATTTTAAAAGAAAAAGACTAATTTTCAGGGGTATTTTCAGTTTATGTTTTTTAAGAGATTTAAGGGAGAACGGTATGACCATTTGAGGGCATCTCACAGACCTAAGTGTTGAAATTTCTTTCCTTTATATAAAGACAAAATGAAGTTCAAGTAATACAGTCAAATGAGAACATAAAACAGGAGCAAATAATTTTTTGCCATTTTATTTTTTTTTTTTTTTTTGTTTCTTTTTTTTTATTTTTTTTATTTTATTTTTTTTTTTAAATCTACTTTTGGAAAGGGTAGTTATGATTTATAAAACAAAGTCACATTAGTTTAATATGTTTATAAAGAAGGTAAAGTTAGGACATCTTTAAGACATATCATTTTCAGTGTATTTTCTTCATAGATGTATTATCACTATGCCATCTTCTGCATGTGGGTCCTACTATTTGTACTGTCAACTTTTGCCTTTGTAGATGTCATTGATATAAGGAAAACCTCTTATTAGTTTAATTTTTAACAATATTTAGTTATGGTGCTTATATTGATGATTTCATTGAGTTTTTTCCCCATATTTTATCCTACCTTGAAATACATCCAGGGTTTTTTAAAATGGAGAAAGTGAGTTGAAGCACAAAGAAACATGTTTCTTTAGTTATCCTGTCAAGAATATAGCAGTTGTTTTATTAATTAAGATCTATATTGGAAGATACAGAGGGGCAAGATTCTAAGCAATTTCTTAAACCCACTTTTTTTGAAGTTTATAACAAATTAACCACTTAGTTATCAGAATCTCTTTGAAGAAAACAAGATGTCCCAAAAGACAGTGCAGTCTGAATTTTAATAACTTCAGAAGTGTAAATGCTACACAAATTATTTTAATTTGAAAGTTTCTTTAAATTTTTTTCTTAGTTTTGTGAATTATTTAAATTAAATGACAAATAACAAATTGAAATTAAATTATAATCAAAATTAACAAAACTAAGGGTCAAAGAAATTTTAAAGAATCAAACTTTCAATGGTTTTTTTTTTACAAGTCTGTAGCATTTATACTTACGAAGTTATTAAAACTAAACTGTACTAAGTCTTTTGGGACCCTTTGTATTTAAAGAATGGGAAAAGATAATTGCTTTATGGAATGGTTTTCAATATTTGATGTGTCTAAGTTAGTCTGTAGGCTAAGAGCTGGATCTTTGAGGACTCTTCCTGCCATTTGATCCTGTAGCTAGGTTTCAAGTTGTGAAATTATGGAATATAAATTCAAGAACAGAGGTGACATGTCATCAGCAACATACTCAGGATAATGTAACTTGGGGTAATAACCAAACATAGCCACTATAAAAATACCCACGTGCTAATGTGTTGGAATTGATGACCTCTGCTGAAATTATGGTCTAAATTCTTTGAAGAATAAGTAAAGAGTGAAGTTCATCTGCCAATGTAGGATTCAGACGACAAGCCTTAAAATCAAACAGAAGAGTCAGTTATTCAGGTGTATTTTGAATTGTTGGGTCTTACTTTTTCTTTTTTCTCCCTTTTAAAACATTCTTGGTTTGTTGTTAAAAATAGTTAAGTATGATGGATTCCAAGGGAATTTCTTAATTAAGATACATTTTTCTTGATATATAACTTCTTAATAAGGGAAGTTCAAATTAGCACATATGCAAAAAAAGACCACACTAAAAACAGCCATGCTGTTATTATCTGAAAGAGAGAAAATTTTATCAGTGCCAAGAGTAAAGGGAATTTACACACTGATGACAGCATTCTCTGTTATAAATTATTAAAATAAGTAACATAGAAAGCATTAACATTTGGCCTCAAACTTGCTATTATCTCATTATGGTGAAGAGCAGCATCTATAATAAAGCAGACTTTGCTACGACTAACATAAATAGATGGAATAGTGCATAATTTCACTGAATGTCAAGAATCTGAGAGAGACGGCAGAGGTCATCTCATCCAAACCGTACCCCATGCAGAAACTGGCCCTTAGTACCCATGACAGTTGGTCACTAGATATTTGTTGCTTCTAGTGACAAGAATTCACGACCTTCTAGGGAAACTTTTGTTTTAATATCCTGAACAATTGTATTAGAAGATTCTTCTTTATATTAAGCTAAAATTTATCTCCATGTATGTAAGAATCATTGAAGGGTCTTAGGAGAATATATAATGCTGGTCTCATGGTCACCCCGAGAGGCAAAGTGCGTGCCAGGTGTCCAGCCTGGCGGAAGCAGAGCTGAGACCAGTCGTGGCTCTCCTGACCTCAGGACCGCTGACTCTTCGCCGTGTGGCCTTACCTTTCCCTAACACACCGTAGTGGGAATAACTGGCTATAATTCTGCTCCTGTCTTCGTTGTTGCTTTTCTGTAGGAAGCCCTTGTCTGGTGAAGGCCTGTCAGGGCCCCTCATGTCCTTTTCCTCTGCATCAAATACTCAGTCTCTTTACCATGCGTCATAGGACAGGATTCCAGACTCTTCACTGGCTTACTGCCTCTGAATTTCCTCCGTTTTAAAAATATCTCCCATAAAATACAATAGTGAAAATTGAGTAATGGGGCTATCATCTCCCATCGTATAGAAAACAGTTCTAAGATTGCAATCTCTTTGTTTTGCTGTTGTATTTAGGATGAACATATACTGTATTTCAGGATATTTTTAACCCAGAGTTGTTTTTGCTTGTATTTATTTATGCTTAAGGATAGCATAGACTCTGAAATTGACTTGGTTTGGGAATCAGTATAATACAACATTTAGATTTTTTAAAAGTTAAAGACAACTATTTTTCATACTAATAGAATGGTACAGTGGTAAATATCCCAAAATTCTGTTGTATTTGTGTAGTGTGTTCCTATATTTATGTATTAATATAGGCTTAATCCTCTGGAAAGTTTAATTTAAAACAAAATACAGTTACCTCAAGGGTAAGGTATTCAGGACAACATGGGTTTGAATTGTGTGAGTCCACTTATAAATGGGTATTTTTCAAAAAAATATATTGGAATTTTTTTTGAGATTTAAGACAATTTGATAAGACATTTTCTTTTCTCTAGCTTTATTATAAGAATACAGTATTTAATATGTAAACAAATTATGTGTTAATTGGCTGTTTATGTTATAAGGCTTCTGGTCAACAATAGACTTAGTAGTAAAGTTATTGGAGAGTCAGAAGTTTCATGGATTTTCACCTGCATGGGAGGTGGGTGTCCCTCACCTAGCATCGGTCATGGTCAACCGTACTGTTTAAGTTTCCCAAAGATCAGAATCTCCTGGAGAGCTTTAACAGATATGCTTGTGTCCCACAACTTGAGACTGTGATTTGCTGTGAAATAAAGACTGGGTTTTAGAATTTTAAAAAAATCCCTAGATGATTTTAATATGCACACAAGTTTGGGGATCACTGCTATAATCTGATCATATTCAAGCATAGGGCTTAGAAATTGTTCCTGCTCCAAGCTCAACAATTTGTGCACTCCATGAATTGCTTTATAAATCTTATGATGAGATAATTCCAGTTTGGACTTCATGGGTATCATGGACTTAAGGTGTGCACAATTTTTTTTCTTTTTTAAAAAATTCATGATGATTCCCTCTTTACCACTTTTTAACAGTTTCTTGATTTTAGATGTGGAAATCCATTTAGGATCTAAATAAATTGACCACATGGATTAAAACATGAAAAGACTCATTTGAATTCATTACTCCAACCTCATGAATATTTCTACTATGAGTGGTAGAGGTTACACATAAGAATTTTTAAGAACTACATTTCATTAAAGTACCTGATAACACTCGTACAGGTTCCCACGCTTTCTGGGTGAAAGAAGGCAGGAACATTCTGGCTTAAAGGTCATGGTGGTGGGCCTTAGATAGCCGATAGTAGCAGAGAGAGAGAATAATTTGCATCCAAATAGGACTTTTATCACCTGAGTTTAATTATGTTAATAATTTGATCGTTGTCTGCAAACAGTCTATATGTCTGACAGCCTCTCTTAGATAGAGGTTATCTGCACAATAATTAGGAAAAAATCCATAAGGATGTTCAGGTCTCAACTAAACGCCTAGACATTTCTATTATGAGTCCGTTTATGTTTGTTCTCAGGCTTACTAACCTTAGAATAATAGTGTTTCGCTGTGACTTCATCCTTTGTGATACCCAAGCCAAGCTGAAGACACCGTGCATGGTAAAAAGATGCCATGGCCATGCCTTTATTGATGAATTCTGGGAGACAGTCGGTGACCCGGGCGATCATGGGGATGTCGTGAGCCTCATCGTAGTCAGCAATCCTGTAATGATGTTGAGTTGTGAGGTTAAAAAGGATGTCAGTTATGGCTCACACTCACACTTCTACAAATGACAGGTACAGAAACTGTCTTCATGCCCGAGGTAAGTGCCCTGTTTTTCTGCGTTTGGGAACGAAGTTGTTTGTTGTGCAGTGAAGGGTAGATACAGCCTAGTTGGTTACTACCAGGGAAGAGCAACTGCTAGAATGGGCACTTTACAGCTTTCTTTTAGTTATAGTCATCAGGCTTAATCACCACCAGAAAACAAAAGAAAGGTTTGTTTCTTTTTGTCTTGTAATATTAATACTTTAAGCTTTATCACTTCGTAGACCTAAACAATGAGGAGAAAAAGCATTTTCTATTTCTTTAGATCATTATCATTGACCTTCAGATTGGACTTCAGTCACACAGGGCCAGGAAACACATTAAGAAACTTGCACTTCTATCTTTGTTAAAAAATGGGCAATAAAAAGAAGTCATCCTTTATAACCCAAATATGGAGAATTGTGTGGAAATGAGGTTGAGTCACCTCCATGTCAACCCTAATATTATGGGGAATAGGAATGTGGACAATCATTAGAAGTTTCAAGGATTTTTGAGAACTGTTGAGTCTTAGTTTTAACCAGATTGGCACTTGGAGAGTTGGGACATTGGAGGTCACACCTTTCTGTGGCCTGCTGCCTGGAAGCCGGGACGTTGGGGAGGAGGGTGGAGCAGCTCTCCTGGCCTGACACTGGGCTGGGGAGGGTGGCCGGGGCTCTGCTGGAAGGGAATTACTGGGAAGAATGATAATCAGCCTGGTCTTATGGCCCCTCTAGGGGATATCGAGGTCAGTTTTTCCTGGTATGTTGCTTTCTATACATGGTGAGTGAGTGAATGTAGGAAAGTACATGGGTTCAGAGAGAAGAAATTTCCATATGTTTTATAAAATGTTGGTGTCTTTTAGCCACTGTTTTCATTTTACCACCCTTAATATCAAGCTATGTTGCAATTGTGCCAGGGTGGAAACTGTGGCTGAGGATGAAGAAATTAAGTTTAATAAGCACTTCGGATATGCCAAGCTACATTAAGGATGTTATATACACTATTTTTATAATCTTTCAGTAGGAGAATTTTCTACTTTATAAGAAAATCAACCAATGCCCAAAAAACCTAGGCTTTGCTTAAGATCACTCAGCTGGTATATAGAGCAAACAGTACTGAAATCTTGAAGACTAACAGCATAGAATTGTATATCCAATATGGTAGCCACTAGCTATGGGTGGCTATTTAATTAAAATCCATGAGTTAATTAAAGCTGCAAATTCAGTTTCCCATTGTACCAGTCACATGTCAAGTACTCAGTAGCCACCATGGCAGTTAAGCTCTATTGAACAGACCTGGCAGAGACTATCTGGTAGGAGTTTTTCTGAGTATTTTCACCCAGTTGGTTTACCTTTTGGAAAATGCAGCACACTTTGTAAAAAATTTCATTTTATAGTAATACTCCACGAGAGTCCCTTGAGCATAGACATTTCCGCGTTCTGCTGCTTCCCTTAAGCACTGCAGGGCTGCTTCAGTGTCCTGGTGGATGCCCTGTCCGTGAAAGTACATGAGCCCAAGAGCACCCTGCGACTCCAGGTTTCCATTGCCACATGCTTCTGAGTGCCAATAAAATGCCTAAGAGAGAGCACAACTTCATCGTATTTATTACTCACCACATGAATTATAAGGGAATACTGAAAAGAAAAAAATCTCGAATGGTAGGACAGCACCACTGACGCATCTCTAGGAAATCATTCCAGCACCTTGAACATATTGCAGGTGAGTGCCATTTCATGGGCCTGAAAGAGTGCGAGGTGAGCCCTCCTGTTGTCTCCCCATGGACAGGTGACGTCACTGGAGAGTTGGCTGTCTCAGGTTCCAGGGTTTTCAGATTTTCCAGAGGAAGGTTGGGAATAGGAACTAAGTGTCTGCAAGGCTTTGAGACCCACCGGCAGGGAGGCCCGTGACGGGGGAGCAGCTGGCGCTGAGGGGTGGCGAGAGCTCCAGGGGACCTCAGTGAGGCGCGGTCAAGGCCAAAGGCAGCCAGGGATGCAAGCTGCATGTGGTCTGAGGCGCACCTGTGTGCCACTCGGCCACAGTGAATGGGAACGAGCTCCAGTAAGCATTCCAAGTGACAGCTCCGTCACCCGAGGAGGGTCTGGGTTAGGTGCCTCTTCCAAGTAGCACTTGGCCCTGCGTTTCTTCTCCCTATTAGATTTCTTGGAAAATATTTCAGTCATTGATGTCTGAAGACATATTTCTGTAAAAATCTTACAGGGTTTTAATCTTTAGTTCTTTGTGCATTTCACTTATTAGTGTCATTACTTCCTCAAATCAAATGTAATAATTTATTCATACATAAAGGATTGAGCTTTATTTTGGGACTCTCCCCCTTTTAGCTCTTACGGTATATTTTGTATGTGTGGCTTTCTGTAGCATACAGAAGGTGCCCACATTCATGGGCATCTTTGATACAGGTGGGGAAGATGACATTCTTAGATGAGTAAAGGGTGAAATGAACTTTAAGGTCCTAATATGTAAACTTTTTTATACTTTAAAGAATAAGAGATATTCAGAACCATATACTTACTCTTCACCACCCTCCTTTCAAAAAAAATAGTGAAACAAATATTAATACACATTAATGCTAGCCTTAAAAACAAAGAAATCGATGTTACCTTTTCTAAGTCTCTAGGCTCCTTTGTTGAATAATACAATCCTAGGATACTCTGAGCCTTCACACTAGCTTTTGGATTTCCATTGTCTGCAGCAAAGAGCCATAGTCTAAGAGAGAAAGTGGCAAGGCAAGTTACTCTTTGGGTCAGCATTTGATTAAAACAAAATCTCGTTTTCCGGTAAGACTACCTTTCAGCTTCCTCATTCGATCGTTTGACGCCTTGACCTTCATAATAAGCTCTTCCAAGGTTGTAAGCAGCTGCAAATTGTAAGTGTCTCACTCTGGGACATGGAGAATCAATGATTTTCTTCATATAGTCCACTCCTTTTTCCTTCCACAAAGGAAAAGAACAAACAAAAAAACCCTAGTTTTTAGTTTTACCTAAAACTCTTTCTCCCAGTAATGTAAAGAGTTCACCCTCTGACAGGATGTGTGGCATCATGACGCTGTAACCAAGTGGAAGGGTGGTCCTGGAGTCTGCAGGGCTGGAAGTAAGGAAACAATTAAGTCCCGAGTGGGCATTCCCAGGAGTTCTGGGATATAAAGCATTTTCCTCATTTTACAGCTTCTGCAACTGCTTTGTTTCAATGTGGTTTCCTTTTTTCTCTCCTCTGACCCTTATTCTGGATTGGCACCATTCTTAGAACTCATCAAAGTGCAGGCAGGACTGTAAGTTCTTTCACATCTACAATTCGTAGAGTGCACTTGTGAGTCCCACCCAAAGACTGTCTCTCCAAGCGCACTTTCACTGAATGGGCTCAGTGATGATGGACATCCACTTTGTCAGTCTTCATATAACATCAGCAAAGTCACAAAGAGCACACAGGAGACATTGTCCCTTCCAAACACTCCATCAGACATGAACCTTCAACATCAAAGAAAATACTTGACAATCAAATATGTTTTTATATACTGTATTCTAGCTTTATCCCTCACTGCTCTGTAGAAATACTACTGCTAGCCAAACACCACAGTTATGGAGTAGAAATGAAAGGTGTCTTCCCTGTAGTGAGTCCCAATATAAAGGGATCCATTTTTGTGAATGTGGGAGGTAGGTGTCATTTTTTTCTCCCCAGCTGGATAGTAACAGACCTTAAAGGTAGTGAAGTGGCTGTGTAAATCCTCCCACAGAGAGCAATGATCAATTATTAAATCTGGACAAAATATAAAGAACAACTTCTTAAAGGCACTGGGAAGTTTACCAAAGCAAACACAAGCTGGAGAGAGATTATTTTTGAAAACTGCAACTGGATCCATGAAGTTCAATGAACCCTAGGCAGGAAAAACACAAAAATCTCTCACAGTCACACCCCATAGTCAAATGACTGAATGCCAAAGTGATCTGGAAAGTAGCCAGAGACAAGCAACCCACAGTGCAGGGCGTGAGTGACTGCTCATGAGGGTTAATGAAGGCCAGAAGATTCTAGAATTTTTTCAGGGCAGAAAGAAAAAGTCAACCAGCAAAACAATTCATCAACAATGAAGGCAGATTGAAGACATTGTAGATAACCAAAATCAGAGATAATTCCTCAACTGCTGACTGAAGAAATGACTTTTAAGGAAGCTTTTCAGATGAAAAGGGAGGAATGAAGAACTCCAGAAATTGTAAATATCAACAAATACTAAATGCATATATACATGTGTGTATGTATTTTTTATCTTAATTTCCTCAAAAAATATATGACTAAAGCAAAAATTACAGCACAATTTTGTGTCTTGGGTTTATGACATGCAAATCTACACACATACCATGAGACCCAGCACTGCGGATTGGGGTGGATGTGTGAAGGGATGCACACTTCTGTAAGGGTCCTGTGTTTTACCTGAAGTAATTCAGTATTAACTCCTTATTTGTGCTAGTGCATACAGAAAAATGAACTTCTAGATATCTTGGAGATTTTTAAAAATAAATTCCCAATTTTTATTTGATGGTGTTTGAAATTCCTTTGTAAGTTCATGCAAAAAAAAAAAGTAATAATAAAAAGGAGAGAAAATTATAATACTGATTCCGAATCTCATAGTTTAGTTTTAATTCTTTCATCTTCGGACATGCCAAAATAAATGAGGCCTAGAAATATTATGGAATCAATAGATTATTATGTAGGTATTAAAATGATAATGTAGATTACATTTATTGATAGGAAGGACATTCGAAATACATTGGTAGGTGAAAAAATGATATTATAAAACAATGTGTACAGTATGGTCCTATATTGAAAAATGTGTGTGCACACATACAATTTTTGCATGGGGCAATGCATAGAAGAATATATTTTAAAATAACGTTTGCATTTGGTAACAGATTTTGGCGTAATCCTATTTTTTGCTTATTTTCTAACTTTCCTCCGTATTTGTATAGCTTTGTAATGATTTTTAAAAATGAAAACATTTTAAAACAAAGGAAACTGACGGCTAATGGTAGCAAGGAGGGGGCTAAAAGAAATTTTTTCACATAAATGTAAAAATGACTACTGCTATCCTTTAGATGATGAAGGGATGGATGCTATTGAAATACAAGGGTAGAGAGTATTAAAATAAAAATAATAATTGTTACAAACAATCTATTAACAATGAAATCTTAAATATCGTGAACAAAACAATAACTTACAGCATCTGTAGCTGTCCCTAGGCCATCATAATACATTACTCCTAGCTGGTAAGTTGCTTGAAGATCGTTTTCCTTGATTTCTTCAAACTGTTCTAATGCTCCTTCATACCATCCCTATAAACTCCCAGGAGATAGTGAATTATATTTATTATTTTAAAATGATCCCAACTATTTCATCCCCACCTACATCTATTTAGAAGCACCAAATAAGACAAAAGACAGCAAGAAATTCATGGAATTTGCAAGTCATTGACAATGATCAACACACCATAAAGTCAATTTAATCAACCTAAATATGGCAGCTGAGGGAAGTGACCAGGAGGAATTATTATGGCTCAAGTCCTTCAGCTTTGTAGTTGTCCAGCTAAGGAATAAACATGGAAAAGCTAATGTGTGGTTCTCTAAAATTTTGTGCCATACTTCCTATAAAAGCCTACATATCATGTATCATTCATTTATAGCTGCTTAGCAGTTATGTGATCTGATAACAGATTTCCTAAGGTGTAAGGGGACTAAAACTCAGCTTGTGTCTTAATCCACCATGGAAAAATGCCCTGTGCTGAAGAAGGAATCATTTGTAACAGTGGAAAGAGAGTCTCTTACTGAGTTAGAGGGTCATTACTAGGAAGAGCAGGCCAGAGAAAAACAGCTTTTGGAGAATGCATAAACAATTGAATTTCATTTTTCATAAACTATAATCAACAAATTGTTAGAGTTAATAAAACCTGCACTAAAACACCAACAAATATTTATTTTAAAGAACCCATAACAATAAGTAATGACCCAGTTGTTAGGACTCATTTTCCTTTCTGGCTAATGCTTAGCCTGGGTGCCAAGGGGCTGGAGAAATTAGACTGCTCACTGCAGATGGAGAGAGAAGTCCTTTTAGTTTTCATGATTTTGAATACCGTATACATTCTGGAAAATCTCAGATATACAACTCCAGCTCAGACTTCTCCTTCGAAAGCTAGACTCTTACATGTATGTTTCTACTTTGATATTTGGGTCACTAACGGACAGGCATCTCAAACCTAACATGTCTCAAAACTGAACTCTGGATTATGCTCTCAAAACTCACTCCTCCCCACTTCTCTATTTTCAGTCCATGATGCTATTATTTGTATCTCCGAAATAAATCCGAGACCCAGCTCCTCTGCTCTCCTCCTGGTCAAGACCGCAATCCTCTCTTGCCTGAACTAGTATAATTTCCCTCAAGATGGTCTTGGTTCCATGCTTGTCTTCCAACCCATTCATCACAGGCTCAAAATACTTGAGTGGCTTCTTACCAGATTTCAAACAAAACTCAGCTAGAACCATCCTCTAGCTTTTCATTCCTGGAGCTCAGCGAGCTCGTTCTCATCTCTGCGGTGGTCAGTTTCCCCTCTGCCTGGCGTGCGCTTCCACCTGGCTGTCTGCATTACCTGCTTCCTTTCCTTCAAATTTTAGTTTCAACAGGGCTTTCCACCATTTCCCTAAGTTCTTCACTATCCCAGTAACCAGTTATTTGCTTTCATTGTCCTTTCCCTTTTTTTGTAGCTATAAATGTATCTTCTTCTACTGAACTGTAAGCTTTATGAAATGGGAACTGTTCTAGCTCCCTATCCCTGGATAGGCAGTGCCTAGTGCAATCATAGCAGACCCTTCTAAAGCACTTATTTGGCACCAGGCCCTGGTGATAAGTACTTCCCCAGTTAACACATCCCCACAAGAGCTCCATGAAATGCACATTACTATCCCCCTTTTACAGATGAGGAAACTGAGGCACTAAGGTTAAGTATTTGTGCCCAAGGATTCACAGTTTATGAGCAATAGAACCATATCTGAACCACTGTCCAAAGCTCAGAGATCATTGTCTGAACCATGATGCTGTGCGATCCTCATGGTGGCAGGTGCATGAAGTCCTCAACGAATACTTTCCAGAATGAATGATGGAGCCATCAAAAGATTAGTAAGTGGGGTGTAGGTGAATAGTTGCCCAAATAGTAGATGGTGAGGAACTGGATGGTGGGGGTGGGGGATCCCTTTCCCATCTTCCCTGGGGGTTCAATGAAGAATTGATGCTTTTTACTGAAGTTGGAGTGATAATTTGCATAGTTCCTCCTAACATCTGCCTCACAGGATAACTCAGCATAATATGGATAAAGGTGGTGACTCCTTCCTTATGCTATGGGAACATGCAAAGCTACCTTTGGGTACTGGATAAGAATCAGGGCCTGTAATTGTTACTGAGAGGAAAATATAAATGATACTAAATATTTAGACAAAATGTAAAAACTAGAATTTTAATTTACAGTTTGAGAATGGATTTTATGCTAAAGTGATTCCTATAAACAACTTCAATTAGAATGACTTTAGGAAGGTCCAATAACTCCTTAGGCCAATACCAGGGTATTGTACTTAAAGCCATGAGCATAGTCTATGGAATTTAACAGAATTTCCCTGGCATAACAATGTAAGCAACTCTACAGAAAATTTTGCTATGACGATCTGACAACAGCATTATAGGAAATGAAAACAAAAAATGATACCTCTTCAAAATACAGTTGACCTCGTAGAAAACATGCCATAGCATCCCCTCTTCTAATTCTTTCATTCAAGAGCTGCAGTGCCTTATCCACCAACTTAGAATGGCTGTAATGATCTGATTTAAAAAAAGGTAAAGAATTCCATCCTTACCCAAACAATATGAATTGTTTCTCTTGAAATCGTAATTCTATAGAATCCATCAAATTTCCTTCCTAGTTCTCATTCCTAAAACTGGCCTCCTTAGCTCAAACCAAAAGCATTATCACAGACCCTAATTCTGTACCCGGTATAGTCAAAAAGTGTTGATTGGGTTTCAGACTAACCCTGTTCAGCACCTGGCAGGAGCTCTAGCCATGCAGTCTATGTGCAGTTCTTTAAGTAAAGCTGTCCTGTGAGAGTGAAATTCTTAGTAACTACTATAACCAAATGAGCTAGCCACCCCCAGTTTAATTTTTTAAGTCTATAGAAAAAAAGAAAGGTAGCTTTCAATGCCAGTTTCAAGTATGGCATTGTTCTCTTTAATCTCAACAACATCTGGCTTCTGTTTGCCAGAAGTGTGTCCTAAAGTTCTGAGGGTAAAATCAGGATTTGGTATCCAATTAGGACACCTCACTGATGATTCACTATCGGAAAAGGAGCAGTTTCTTAGATTCTTACAGGAAGGCTAGAAAGAATAGTAAAGTTAACCACTTCTTTGACAGCAGTTAAGATTCATATATCTGGTTGCTTCTGCTCTGGTGTGGAGACTTAAGTTTTACTGAAAATATTAACAGAATTCGTACCAGTCTTTTCCTTTCGCCATTGGAAATATTTCTCGTTCTTAGCAGCATACTGGGATAGAGAGGTATTACAGGGGCCTGGGGGCAACTTTTCACTGGTCAGCTTCATCCTGTCTCCACAATGCGTATTCTGTGAACAAGAATGCAATATAAGATGTAGGAATCTTTTTCTCCAGAAAAATGCAGTCCTCATCAAAGGCAAGCTCCCCACACCGCCTCACGGTAGGACACCAGAGTACCAGTGCTGCCATGTGAATACTCTCTTAGGAGACCAGGACCCTCCGTAGCCATGGGGCACAGCCGTCCTCCACGCCTGTGTGGGAGCATGGGGTTAATGATGAGGGTTGTTTGCAAGTCCTCTCTGACTGAGTTCACAGGCTTCAGAGGGTCATGTCCCCCACGGCAGCAGCTGCCGCTATTAGGGACAGGTGGCGCTGCCCACAGTTCTTGTGCACTCGTTCCTTCTTGCTGCCTTCAAACTGAAGTTCCTCAGACTCATCCATTGCAAATCAAAGCATTTGTCTGTTTTACCTGGGAATACACTTTATTTTTGGTGTCTTGTTCAGTTTTATCTTCCTGTCTGTAGTGGATTGCCATGTCATGAGGTGGATCACAGCTGAATGGAAAATCAGAGCTTCCGTACAAAATGCAGAGGCCACCTCATTTGGGATGAAGTCCAGGTTGGCCTCCCCTGAGAGTACTGAACAGCAAACTGAGTTGTCACTCTGCGTTTCTGGTTTCTCCTTGGCATTCTACTGTTACCGCTGACTCTCGCCAATCAGGAACAATCTTCTGGGACAGGCTCCTGATGGCTGGTGAAGAGGAGAACTCAAGGGACCTTTGGTGTGAGTGGGAAAGTGCATTTATACTGTTACAGGATACTGTTTTGGATAGTAAATTGGTTCCTTAATAAGAGTGAAGTGCAGAAAAGGGATTTTAGGGATATAATTCAGTTTATTAGAAGAAGAATCATGGTCCTATCTTTGTGACTTTGGAAGAGTTATTTAATCTTTTTAAGAGCCAGTTTCCTCATCTGTAGTTTGGACTGTAAGAAGTTGGAACTAGAGGATTTCAAAATGGCTGTCCCAGGATATAAAACATTCTTTGATTATATGATTCCCAAAATGTTTGTACTAGTGAATATAGAAATTTCCAGTAAGCTTTGGGGTGAGGCAATATTAGGTAAAGTACTCAGAAGAAAAACAGTCCAAGTAGAATGCTGTAGGTAGCATTATCAGCTCACTGAGAAACTGGTTATAGAAATTTCTGTTTCAGGGAAGACATTAACCCAGAGTGCTACTGTATGTATCGAAACAGGCTGAGAAGGAACTTGGCATGAAATAAACCAGAAAATAATACCTTACCTCCTTTAAACTCATGTTGCCCTCTGTTGTTACAGCACTGCACATGCTTTTCGTTGCTGTAGCTTGAAGAGGTGGAGAGGGTCTAGAAAAAAATATTTATTGAGCTCTTACTAAATGCCAGTTGTTCTTTGTTCCAAGTGCTTTATAAGCACTAACTCCTACAAAACTGTATGAAATAGGGGCTATTATAAAGCCCGTTTAACATACAAGGAAACTGAGGCACAGCAGAAAAGTTAAGTAACTTACCTAAGGTTGCAGGGCTAGGAAGTGGGGCAGCTGGCACACCCCTAGCTCCTGTACAGTCATCATTATTCTACTCTGTTCTCCAAAGGGCAAAGCCAAGATTATTTAAAGTGGTGGTCGCCTGTAAAGCATAAACCAAAATGTAGTACTGCTAACTTTGGAAAATAAGCAAGAGAAGATATTAAAAAACAGGAGTATGTGTCTATTTCTGCCAAATCTTGAGACTGACATAAAATTATCACTTGAAACTTGGCAACTGTGTATATTTTATGCTGTAAAATTAGCAAAGTCCATAATGGAAATGCTAGACGTTAATTAATAACAGGGAATCTGACAGAAAGCTCCGGTCTAAGGGGAAGGGCAGGTGTGACGTGGACACAGGGCTCCCTTCCCAGGTCCCCTGTTGGTTAGTGGACCTTCTCCAGCTGCTGTGAATCTGAGTTGAAAGCAGCTTGCGCTGTTCCTTCTCTGTAGATTTGTCCCTCACCAAACATGAGTCCCTTCCCTCCAGGACACTTTGCTCCCTCCTCTTGGAGGCAGTCCCCTGGCAGGCGCACTTGGAATGCCAGCCCCACTTGGGAGAGGACATCTGCCAAGCGTCTTTGAGCATCCTGCTCATCCCTGCGGGGTGTATCCAGGCTACGGCAGCTCTCTCCGTGGGCCCGTTCTCAGGTCTGCACGGGCATGAGTGGCCTTGAGGGATAAGGTCCTATCTCCACACAGAGAACAAGTTTGCTTTCTAAAAACCAGGACTTCATTTGGCTAAACCACATTCCATCCTTGGAAAATCTTTGGATATTTTGTACTGGGAAGCCCATAGGAAATGCCTTTTGCTTCTCTGTGTTGATCATTCTCTCAATATACTATGCACATCTGGGCTGGCTTGATACTCTATTCACGTAAATATTTGGATATTTGAACTAGAATCTCCAAAATAGCAATTCATGCTAAATTATCGCTCCCTCTCTTTTTTTTGTAGGTAAGAATGTAAGCCTTTGGGAATATGATAAAATTCTCTAAAAATTGTAATTTTTTAATGGAATAGCAAAAAGTAATTTAAATGTGAAAGTGCTGTGAAAATGAGTTTCAGGATATTAGCGTCTTTATAGGTTATTCTTGTGTACCTGTAGAGAAAAGAGCGTAGCTGGCCAGAGGCTGCCATTTTTAGAAGGGCGTACCGGCAAGGCTGGTCCTTGAATGCCATCCGGGAACTTGCCACCTGAGCCGTCTCCTTACTAACAAGACTAGCTTGCTAAAGCTTTTATTGTTTGTAGAAACAATGTAACGTATGCTGAACACCTGGTTTCCTTCTGGAGTTCTGGAATTATAGAAGCTACTAGTCAAAGGATGCCAACACGGCTAGCTCCCTGTGTAAACACTGGCTGCAGAGTCTGTAATGGGCTTCCTTAGGCAGAAAAATGCACACGTGGGCCTGCATTATTCACTGCTGGGAAAGGAGCACGCTTGGTGTGTTTCTTTGCGGAGACAGCGTACGCCTGTGTGTGCATGCATTTCTCCAGACTCCCCCTGGGTCTTTGCTCCTTGCTGATCTAAGTGTGTACTTTCCCTGCAATAAACTTTAGCCATAAGTACGACCACAGCTGAGTCCTGGTCCTGACACAGTACCCTCAGCTATGTTGTAAAAAGATAAGCCTACACATTCCATGCAACTCCTGGCAAGTTTTAAATATACCTGTTATTTTTTGTTATTAATTATGTTTGCAGGTGTTTCTAATTGTTCCTTTTGGTTCTAAATAGTTGGCATAGTCCAATACTGAATAATAACTATATATATTTACTCAAGGTTCTTTTAAAACTGAAGTACAACACTGAAGTTCCTGTCATAATTGATAAACAGTGTTACTGGCTTCGATCAAAATAGTTAAGCTTCCTGGGAAAAAGCACAAAGGCCTGTTTTTCTTGTTATAGTTCTTTTACATTAGTGTTGTCTCTTAGTAAAACCAAGTAGTGTTCATAGAGTAACTGGAAGCATAATCTATACATACATGGTGAAAACTTAGAAAATAATATTGTATATCAACTATATTTCAATGAAAAGAACAAAACAATATTATTACTGAGATCTCAAAAGACGATACTGAATTAGCCAGTAGCTTTCTGTTTCTTTATTTTTTCCCTTCCAGCTCGGTGCATTTGTTTATTTAAAACAAAAGTGCTTTTTCCCATGCCCTTCCTTTTGGGTGTGGTAACTTTACAACATCACCCCCTGAAATGAGGAAAAAAAGCATGGGAAGGATAGGATGCCTTTAAATATGAGATAAACTGTGGTAATAAGCACTGGATGGGAGAATTTAGTAGATTTTATTTTATTTTTCTCCAATTTATCATGTATTCTTTGAGCAAGTAAGTCTAAGGAACATTGGTTTAAAATCTTAATGCCTGTTCCCACTGTGTGGAAAGCTTTTATGGCTGTTAAGGGGTTCCAGGTCCTTTTCTGAAAGGGTTCATTCAACATCCAAAGGTAAATGAATATGAATATTATTTAGTGACTATTTTCTGGTCTTACAGAAGCTTCCTATACAGAAGAGCTGATGCTGTTGTAGTTACAGATAGTCTGGAGTGATTCACTTCCAGGGCTCAGGTAGTAAAGTACTTGAGTGAATTTCTAATACCCTCAAAAGGTGGCAACAGTTGAGAAAAGAAACAGAATCATAATGGGAAGTGGCAAAAATCTGCGACAACACAAATTTAAATTGGGCTGCTGTCCTAATGACAAGAGAGGGTCACATCAAACAGGAAAACTGGATTAATCTTTTATAAAATAATCATGAGCAGACCCACAAGGTTGCTTGTCTCCATGTCTTAAATTATAGGTAACAGATAGTAACCTCATCTTATGCCTATTTCTCAGTCCCATTGGTTTTAACCAATCAGATTTCATGAAATCCTAAATATCACTACTGATCTAGGTAATTTCCATGCTTAATGGCATTTCCACAAAGAACTCTCAAAATACTTTGGTGACTTAGCATGTGAGAAACTGTTATTACCAATTACACCTGTCTAAGATAATTGGGTAAGAAATGATTAGATCATTTGGGAAACTGTCAAAAGTTTGAAATTCAGTTGTTTTATTTTAAAAATGCACATTATTCAAAGTGGCTTAAAAATGTAAATTAGATATATGCTTTTCATAGAACTTGAAGAGACACATTTGAGTTACAGTAAGTTCAACTTCCTACACTAGATAAATTAGATAGCAAATATATCAAGTAGCTGTAGCCTACAGAAAAAATTATAATGCATACTTTTTCTGAAAGATATACAAAATATTCAGCTACTGTCTTTATGTTCCTTAATGAAAGAAGCAAGCTACACAATAAATGCAGTAGGAGCCCACTTACCCAGTATTAATTGGGTTGTGTAGCTCGTCAGGTAAACAAGAAGAAATTAATAGAAGTATACAAACAAAGTATACAAACATACCATATGCATTTTACCTTAAAACATGTAGATAGTTATTTTCCAATCTTTTCACATAGGGTCAGAAGCTATTAAAGTAGAAGTTGAATGTGAGAGTTTAGATTAATTTAAAAGTCTGTGAATGAAATATTATCAGCTATTACAAAGAAAGAAATCTTGCCAGTTCTGAAAACATGGATGGACCTAGAGGGTATTATGCTCAGTGAAATAAGCCAGGAGTAGAAAGACAAATATCATATGATTTCACTTACATGTGGAATCTAAAAACAAAATAAAACAAAATGAGTAAAATAGCAGTAGACTCATGGCACTGAGAAGTGATTTGGTGGTTACCAGTGGGTAAGGGTTGGGATGGGTGGTGGGTGGTTGAAACAGGTGAAGGTGATAAAGCAAATAGTTTCACTTTTAAGTAATCCCCTTTCCAAATATAGTAATGGCAGAAGATACCTAAACTAGTATGAAGCTAATTTTAATCAAACAAGGAGCAAAAACTCTCACAAAGTTCTCACAGCCGATCACTACTTAATTTTTTGTTCTGATTAACCAATACACTTTGTTCCTTTCTAAACGCTGTAAATCACCAGGAGATCTTATCAGCCTGTTCTAGAATGCTCGGTCATTTGGGCTCACATCAGTTTGAACTTTTTTTCCACACCTATAAGGATTATTATAATAGCTAACAAATATTATATAACTCGTGAGATATGAGAAGTGAGAGCTGTAATTTTTAATTTAAATTGCCTTCAAAATCACCAAGTTGCTAAGAAAAATATGTAGGTGAGGATAAATCAGTACAAAAGAAGGGGAGAAATAGTTCCATATTCAGATTGTTTCATGGGCTTTTTTAAAATTGAAGTACAGTTAATATACAATATTATATTGGTTTTAAGTATACAATATAGTGATTCAACAGTATATACATTATTAAATGCTCACCCCAACTAGTGTAGTTACTATCTGTCAACATAGAAAAATGTTACAGAACTATTGGCTATACTCTCCATACTATACTTTCATCCCTGTGACTAAAACTTTTAGGGAAAATAACATGACTGTAGCTTCAGTTTCTACCTAGATTTACCTGAAAAAAGTGTTTAGGAAAAGACAGTCAAGAGATTATATATGCGGCCAATAGCTACATTTTTAAGTCAGAGTCTGTTTCTCAAGCTTTACGAAAAGGAATGACCCAAGCTAAACAGTGTAGATGCATTTTCCCCACCGCGGCTTTCCCAGGAGAGCCGGAGATAGTCCGCCCGGTCCATGAGCCCCACAGGTCAGTAACGAACGAGGCCGGGGTCCCCCCATCTTTTATGCGAGAACTCGCCTAATGAGTGAGGGCGAACATATTTCTTCCTCCTTTTTGCCGCCCGAGGCTCAGCAAGCTCAAGGTTAAATAGCTTGGACTCCACATTTTCCCAGGCGACGTGACCCGGAGGGGACACATTACCGTGTCACATCAAACCCGAAAGGGTCCGGTTCGATGAACCGTTCTCTGGTTTGGGAGGGTGGGGCGGGTGGAGCGGTCCGTTGGTAAAACCTTTCACTTTAGTTCACATTCACCGCCCTCCAACCCGCCCCACTCCCCATCTCCCCCATCTCTCGCTTTCCTCCCTAGACGTCCAGGGCGCGGGTATCGGGCGCGCCTGGGCGATTGTGAACCGGGAGGAGGGCTCTCATGCCCTCCTCCGGAGCTGGCCGGCGTGGGGCGCGGCGCCAGCACCAAGAATAGCGGCTTCCAAAGGGAGTGTTGCCGGAGAACGGCCTCGTTTCCTGGTTACGTGCGTGCAAGCAGAAACCCAAACCCGGGCCCGCGACTCCCGCTGCTCCGGAGGGACTAGGGGCAGGGAACGCTGGCGGGAGACGTGTCAAACCCAGCCCGCCTCATGGCCGCCGCCGATTCCCCGACGCCCGGACGCCCGCCCTGTCCGCTCACCGCCCTTCACGGCGCACGCGTATTGGGGCTCCGTGGGACCGCGTACGGCCCCGCCCCAAGCGGGCGGGCCTAGTGTCTCCCTAATGGCCAATAGGCTGGCGGGCCTGCCGCCCCTCCAGCCACGCGGGGGGGGTCGCGGTTGCACGTGTCCGCAGTGTTTGTGTACGTGCGGCCTCCCTGCGGTAGGGGGAAGGCTGGGCAGCCAAGGGTTAGGCTGCTGGGGCGCGGCCCGAGGTGGGGCGCGGCCGGGAGCGGGGTGTGGCGGTCTTGATTCCGCTGTAGTTGTCTGCGCTGGGCACTCTCTCCTGCCGTCTTCCTCGAGTTCCCCACCTCTGCACTCCAGTGACGCCTGTCCTCCGCGTTAGCCAGGAAATGCTGTTGCTTGATTGCAACTCTGAGGTGAGAGTCGGGCCCCTTTTGTCCTGAAGACTTGAGTTTCGGTATGTCTGTCTGTTCGGGAGCGCTAGCGAGGGTGACTTACCACTGGGAGCTGCCGAGTCAAGCCTCTTCAGAGTTGGGAGTGTGGAAAGATTTTCATTCCCGGGAGAGCGTGGGACAGAGGCGAGAGGGGTGCCGGAGCTGTTCTCTTCCCGCAGGTGGATAGTCTGAAGCATCTGCTGGCCGCCGGGGCCTCGGTCAACGCACCCCCGGATCCCTGCGAGCAGTCTCCTGTCCACTTGGCGGCAGGTGGCGGCCTTGCTTGCTTTCTACTCTGGCAGCTGCAAACGGGCGCTGACCTCAACCAGCAGGTAACTAGGTAACTGATTGTTATGTGTGCAGCCCTTCCCTCCACCCCAAATCCGCACAAACATTTCTTGCACGACAAAATATTCAGTTGTTCGTTTCAGTTGCTATAAACGTGTATAGCAGCGTGTCCAATAGATATATGTGAGATGCATAGTTCAAAATTCTAGTAGCCACATTAATGAAGTAAAACAATACACGAAATAAGTTTATAATTTAACTCAGTTCATCCAAAATGTTATTTCAACATGTAATCAATATAATACATTACTGATGTATTTTCTTTCCATAGGTCTTCTCAATCCGGTGTGTAATGTACATTTACAGCACATTTCAGCTCAAACTAACCACATTTCAAGTGTTCATTAGCAATGTATACAGCTGCTATTACACGGGACAGTGTACATGGGTCTAGAGTTTATTTCAAAAACTACATTATGAAATTAAAAGTCTCAGCATAGCTATTGAAATACTACTTAGGCATTCTCACACCCATTAGAGTTTCCTACAGAACTTTCTTACGGTCGTCTGGATCTCCTATTGAATATTAAAATATGGTGAATTTTAAATTGTAAAATTTTTTACTTCAGTAAACTCTGTTTTGTATGTAGTCACTTAAATTTTAATGTATGTGGCTGTGGCTCCATATGTTTTTAATAATAAAAACTTTGTATTTAATTACATACCAAGTGAACTTTATAAAAAAAAAAAAACACCGAACTTGAATTAAAAAAAATGAGTCCAGTACAATGCAGTTCTTCAAATAGCTTCCTCAAACAAAAATTAGACTTCAAATACCAGCTTCCACAAGAAAGTGATTTGGGGCAAGACTCAAATGTGGTGTCTTATCTTTAAGGATATTTTAGGAGAAGCTCCACTACACAAGGCTGCAAAAGTCGGAAGCCTGGAATGCCTTAGCCTGCTTGTAGCCAGTGATGCCCAAATTGAGTAAGTATAGTGGCTTTAAATTTTGTCTTTTCTTGGATTAAACTAATCAGATTCCTGAAGCTTAATTGCATGTGCTTTCAAAAATAAAGCTTGCCTAACTGATAATTTAGTATTACCATTTAAATGTTAACTTAGGCTGTTAATGACATCTGATACTATTTAAGTAAAAAAATGGATCCTGAGGAGTCAGAGGCACATTCTGTTCATCTATAAAGTTCTCATTGACTTGCTTCGGGTACTTACTCTTACATTGAACACATACTCTTTCTGTCACTCAAAAATGGAATTCCACTCTGTGCTGGACTGCTAGCCACTGAGGATACAATAGTGAGCAAAAATTTAATTTTTCTATTCTTCCTTTACCTCTTCTATTCTGAAACTAACATTTGTATGAGCCCCAAACTCTTTGTTAGAAAAAAAATTTTTTAATGGCCAGTTATCAATTTTTTTAACTCAATTTCTGTCTTAAATTCAGTTTATGTAATAAGAATGGGCAAACAGCTGAAGATCTGGCTTGGTTATGTGGATTTCCAGAATGTGCCAAATTTCTTACAACAATTAAATACATGCAGACAATAAAATCAACTGAACAATCCAATAGAGATCATTGTGTTCCAGTGCTCAGACAGAAACGAAGTTTTGGAAGCACAGAAAATACAAATGGGAAAAGGAAGTGTTGGTAAGTAGCCCATAGTTTCTTCTTTTCTTCCTCCCTAAGGATCTCGTATTTAGTACAGGATTTATTGTTTCATTTAAACACTGGCAGCCTTGTTTCTAGTATATCTTTCCTTATCACATTTTAACACTGGTTATAGTAACTACAACTATATTCTAGAGACCAAAAATTGTCCTGCATGGTGGAAGTTTGGGAAAAAGCCTTTGCCAAAAAGTTTTTAATGTCATTACATTTTTTAACAGATGTCATGTTGGTTATGAAGAGGTTTGAAGGCAGCCTTCACTTCATGTGGATCTGCTGTTCAGCTGTGGCTTTTGGCTCACCAGGTGTCTCTGAGCTCCTTCTAAGAAGGAGGGAAACTTTCTTCTAAGTGAAGATAACCTTTAAGAATACATGTATTTACATGCCAGTATTTTGATGTTAAATGCTTTGTCTTTTAAGTTATTAAAGGAATGTCTAAAGAATAAATTCTTTCTTGATGCAGTGTTTTATAGCCTTTGAAAAAAAAATCATAGTATAAACCATCAATCTACACCCAGGATTTAATTTGAAATTACATATATTCTTTATTAACAGATTTATAACACAATTTTACTATAGTCTTTGAGTCCAAGATAGTTTAGATAATATTTGGTCGCTGAGGAAGACATAAGTTATAGTAAGCATCCTTGTTCCAAAAGTCTGGGCCCTTCCATCCACACCAGCCCTAGATTTGGGAGAAGGGAAAAAAGTTATAGGACTACATGATCGAAATTATAATATTTTATAATTGTGCTCTGTCAGCAGGATCTTAGAAAAGGACTCTAAATACCTATAAAATTCAAATAGTTGAATTCCTGTAAAGCATAGAACAGTATCTTATTGGGGTCCATTTCAGATAGAATTAAAAATTTTTTTCATTCTATAACATTTAACCATGGAAATCATAAAAGAAGAAAAGCTTCCTATGGTAACTGTTACCCCAAATACTGCATTTCACTGATTCTAAGATGTATAGTTTAAAATTCTGGAAGTTGATGGCATGTAATAGTCTCACTGGCAGTCTGTTTTCTCAGGAGTACATAGTATGAACCATGCAGTGGCATCTTAGCGGTGAGGACATGCGGTACTGAGAAATCTGGGTTTGCCCCTTGAGTTGTGTTCTGGCCGTTCGTTTTCCTCAGGTTGTAATCACTGCACTTTTCAGGTCAGTATTAATGTTTTTACCCAGCAGAGAAGATTACTTTTAAACAAAATCTCATTGTGGATATAAAAGTTAATCAGATTTCTTCTAGGCCCTTTAATTTATTAAAGACCCATGTAACAACTGGTCTGCGTTATATCATAATGAAATGATAAACTTTGTTTGCAAAATATTTGTAAGGAGGCTAGGAGGACCCTCAAAATACCACTGAGTGGGTGACAAGTAGGGGTCTTACTCCTTATCCTAACCACCTTGGAAGTTGCTAGGTAATCTGGCAAGAGACCTGTAGTCAAGGTTCATGGTTTCTGTAGAAAATAGTGTGTTAGTTTTGGTTTTTAGTGTGGAGGTGGTAGGGTTGAATAGAGACGTTCTTTAATTTTTTTGTTTTTCGAATAGCAAAAATGGGATACACACTAAAAATTCAAATGGAATTAAAAGTAAAAAATTTTTTAAATCCTCTACCAGTTTTGAGACCTGTTTCTATACATAAATAAGCTTTGTGTTATCGAAGTTTTTCAGAAAACTCCAACTTAATGTCCTAAAATCCATTTTCTTAATTATAAATTTAAGAAAAGGCTTATACTACTTCTGTTTTAATCTTTTTTGTGATTTTTTCATGCATGTAGGCCTTGTCCAGGTAACCAGAGTCAAATTATTTTTAAGAGAAGGGGATAGGCGGGTACCTGACCGGAAACTGATGGGAGTAGAGAGAGGAGCCATGCTTCTTTCCTTTGGGGTGACTGACCTGGGAATTCCAAACAGACAGGCTCCATAAGCAGGTAAAAACGGGTCACACAGAGGCAGAACTCTCCGTGGCGCCCCTGCTGTGAACTGAATATTTGTATCCAAGAGTCGTATGTTGAAATTTAATCCCAAGTGTGGTGGTATTTGGAGGTGGAGCCTTTGGGAGGTTATGAGGTCATGGGGGTGGAGACGTCATGAATGGGGTTAGAGCCCTCATTAACGAGGCCCCAGACCGGCCCCTTAGCCCTTCCACCATCTGAAGACAGTGAAACCACTGCTGACTATGAAGTAGGAAGAGGGCCTCACCAGCCACTGAATCTGCTGCTGCTCTGCGCTTGGATTTCCCAGCCTCCAGAAATGAGAAATAAATTTGTTTATAAGCCACCCAGTATAGGGTATTCCACTACAGCAGCCGGAATGGACTAAGATAACACCCTAGATTCTTGAGTTAAATGAGAGTCTATAGTTCTACCGGGGTGGCCATGCATTGGCTTCATAGTTTCTTTGATGTGTTAAAAGAGCAAAGGGTTTTTTTGCAGTTGCAAAATTCTACCGAAATATAAGTAGCAAAGGAGAGAGCAATTCTAAGAGAAAGTAATCACAGACAATGCCTTTATCTAATTGCTTCACAAAATTCCACCTAGGTAATTCTGTCGAGTGCAAAGTCCTTCAAGCCAACCAGAAAGACTTGATTTTATGATCTTTATCATGCTTCTAATTAAAATAACTAGGGCTTCTCACTGCCTTTAAGATAATATCTACACATCTTGCTTCTCTGCCTGGCTCACAGTGACTATCCTTGATTTAGCTCCTGCCTAGCCCTCCAGCCATGCCTCTTCACCAGCTCTGTCCTGCTAAAACTACCAGAGTTCTGGGTGCATGCCCGGATCTCCTTTCCCTGTCTCAGAGTGATCCCTCTAGAGGATCAGCTTTGTAAACTCCACCTCAGATGCCATATTTTTTTCTTTGGAATCCTTTTTGGACTCTTCTCTAGACCAAGAGCTGCTTAAAGACCTTTTTTAACACCCCTAGAGCTTAGGACAGTGGATGGCACATATTAGGTATTTAATGAATTAAT